TTAATGCTATACTAACTTAAAGTAGTGACCTAATGTCTTTATCAAAAATCCCAAAGTCCCCCAAAACACCCACAAACACACACAGTCCTTCCTTCCTTCCCCCTTTGCCCAGTCCAGAGTACCATATCTCAGGAAAGGAAATAGAAGTCCATGGCTCAGGCAGTCCTCTAGTTCTTCCCAGTTAGTCCTCCATCTCGACTGGGAGACCTCCCTGGGTTCCCGGCACCCTCAGCTGAGTCGCCGGGATCTCTGCTAAAACCAGGTGGTGGTTCCCCCTTCTAAAGCTGCTGGGGTCCCCACTCTGGCACAGGCACGTGGTCCTCTCTCCCAGGGCCACAGGAGTCCCCACTCTGTCAAGGCCGCATGGTTCTCTCTCCTAAAGCAGCATGGTTCTCTCCCAATGGCTGAAGTCCTCCCCATTCTGCAAAAGCCGCATGGTTCTCTCCTCCTCAAGGCTGTGCATGGGTCTTCCTCCCTAAAGCAGCATGGTTCTCCCCCCTAAAGCAGCACGGTTCTCTCTCCTAAAATGGCCACCAAGTCTGGGTTTTAAATCCCCATAGCCAATCTTCCTCTGCAGCCCCATTTCTGACTCCTCCCACACTCGGCTTCACTTGCCAGAATTCATGTCCTTCCAGCTTTACTGGGCTGCCATCATGAGTCTGGGCAGGTGTGGCCCCATGTCCTGGAGCCAATCATCTCCGAGCTCCCACGCAGGTGCTATAGCTTGGGGGATCTGCCCCCAGTCACGTGTTGGTGGGGAAGTTACTTCCATTGCCCCTGGCTCAGAGATGATCACAGCTATTTAACATATCTAAGCGACCAGCCAAAGGCCATAGATATGTTAAATGACCACGCCAGAGGGTAGCTGCAAGGCTGTTGCTATGCAAAACAGCTCTCAATGGCCCTGCTCCATTTGTCCCTTCCCCCAACCCATATGGGGGGAGGGGGGGTGGAGACATCTTAAAATCTCCTGGACACCTTAAATTCTGGACCCCATTTCAAATGCCCATTTGGGGCCCCCCCTCTTGGCTGCACCCTGTAACAAAGACACATAGACAAAACCAAGCAGGGGTAGAATCAGGGGAGGGAGGTGGAGATGGCTGGAGTCGGGGGGCAGTGGAGGGTAAATGTAGACAACTGTACTTGAACAATAAAATAATTTTTTTTTAAAGAGTGCCTGATAAACAATTTCTATCTCGAAATTCTGGAGGCTGTAAGTCTGAGGTCAGGATATAGCACAGTTGGGTGAGAAATCTCCCCAGGGTGAAAAATTTGTCCTTGTACCTTTGCAAAGGAGAAGGGATTAAGGGTGCTCTCTTTTTTTTTTTTTTTCTTTTTAAAACCACCGAATTTTATCCTCAAAAACATTTTTTATTGCTTTTAGAGAATAAGGGAGTGAAACACTGATGTAAGAGAGAAGCATAGACTGGTTCCTCCCATACACACCCGGACTGGGGATCATATGTGTCTGGATTGGGGATTAAACCTGAAACCTTTCAGCTACATAATGACACTCCAACGGAACCACAGGCCAGGGCTCTCAATTAGGCTTCTTATTGAATGATGTCAATCTCATCCATAACTGCCCTCATGACCTAATCACTTCCCAGAGTCTCCACCTCCTAATACCTTGGTGGTCAGATGTCAGTATGTGAATTTTGTGGGACCCTCACAGATCATAGCAGGACCGCTTGGGAAAAGGTAACATTCTTTTGTTTCTACATCAGTATAGGGATTACATGTGACATGCCTGTGCTTCCCCAGCCCCCTTAGTGCCAGAGATTATCCTAGTCAGCGAGGTCAGGTAGTGGAGACAAACTACCATCAACTGTCACCAGAGTGTGGCTTGAGTTTTTAGATCAAGTGCCACTTCTGATACACAGTTTGTATTGTATGAATGATATTCTCTCTGTTGGCAGGTTGGAGGCCTGTATCCACAGCCCTAATGGGCTATCACCTCTCTGCCAGTGAGTGAGGCTGATGTACCCTGACCATATTCAGAGTCCCAGTGACATTACAGTTGATTGGGACCCTATGAGCAGATGTACTAAGCTCAGTCCTCCCAGCAGGGAAGAAACGTCTGTTGTCGCTCTGGCTCCCCACCATCTACAGGAGGCCAAGACTTACTTTTCTGTGAGATGGAAGGCGGCACATGTCTGTGAGTGTTGATTTTGTCATTTGGAGCCTCTAGCAAAGGCAGCAGGTCCCCTTAGAGAAGAGGGCACATTTGGTGATACCCTGACACAGCTAATAGGTACATTTTATTTATTTTTAGACAGAGGGGAAGGGAGGGAGAAAGAGAAGAGAAAACATCAATGTGTGGTTGCCTCTCACACGGACCCTACTGGGGACCTGGCCTGTAACTAAGGCATGTGCCCTGACTGGGAATCGAACCGGTGACCCTTTGGTTCACAGGCCAGCACTCAGTCCACTGAGCCATACCTGCCAAGGCTAATAGGTACACTTTTGAAGGCAGTAATTAGCTTACTAATTGGGCCTTTTCAAAACTGAAGTATGATTTTTAGGAACATGTGAAACTCTGGCTTGATAAATAAGAAAAATTCAAACAAGTAATTCTAAAGATCAAAGTGGCTTTATTCAATGATTCATTAATCTAGCAACATCCCATCTAGCAAATAGAAAGGAGCTCCAAAGGACTACAGAAAAGGAAAGATTTTTAAAGGTGGAAAAAGAGAAATCAGAAAAAGGAAATTTTTAGCAAAATTGCAGTTTTCAGCAAGAGGGAGGATTGCCTTGTAAGGGGATTAGAAGGTGACAAATTTTACCTCACTGGTGCTGCCCAGGTAATTCCAGGTGGAGTGACCAAAGGTCAAATTCCAAGAGCCCTTGAAACTGCCATTAGATTAGGTATTGTGTCTTGTTTTGCTGATGTGGGGTTTCCTGCAAGTGACTCCACTTTGGACATGCTGTCTCCTTTTTAACAGGTTTGATATTACAAGTTTGGAATGACTTGACTTGGACTCCACTACTCACAAAATAGGAGGGGTCCAAAAATTCCTGCATTTCCTGTCAAGTGCACATTCAAGAATGAAGCTAGTCTGGCCCCAGCAGCACCTTGGCTTTACAGAACAAGTGGTACCTGTCCTTTACAGAGGAAATTTTAAGTATCACACTGCAGCCAAAGCCACTGGCACTAGGAACCCCCATCCTCTGAGATTCTCCTCATTGCAGGGCCCTGGTTTACTGGTGATTTAAGCTGAAACCTAATGGTGCCCCATGGGCCCAGTGGCTGTTTTGTCTCAGTGCCAGCTGTGCAGAACTGAAATCAGATATGGAGGTTCCCTTCACTGGTCAGCTCCCAGGCAGCTGGACTGTTGCCAGTGGTCCAGACATTTAGTTTGCCAATTGGAAAACTACAGATTGGCAGATTAAGGACACCCTACTTTTGGGTTGTGAACTGTGGAAACTAATTGCAATGCTAAAATAGTTATCTGGATTACTCATTTAGGTGGTGGTGGTAAGGTCTGTTCTTGGTGAGTGACCAGAATCAAGCTGCTGATTCCACCTGTTTCTGATGCTTAGGCTACCTCTTTACCTTTGTTTGTTTGTTTTATTGTAATATAGTTGACAAGTGTAATTTTAAGATATAAAGTGCACCCTTAGTTAAGAACCAGTCTCGCTGAGCTGGTGGGGTGGGGGGAAATCCTAAGAATATAAAGGTCAAGGTGTGAATTATGCAAGCGCCCCACCCCCATCCCATTACTGGGTTTCCTAAGTAGATTGGGTAGGGGTTCTTTGGAAAAGATGGTTGGGCTATTTAGACCTACCCAGGAATCCTACTCAGGTTTACCCTTCAAGTGAAAGAATAAAGGGGGAAGGAGCATTTCAGGCCTCCCCATCCCTCAACTCCCTCAGAGTGTTCTTAAGACTGCAGGTGCTGGGGGCTGTGCTGGGTGAGGTAGGAACAGAGTACAGTCGGTCCGTCCCTGCTCCTGCCTCCAAGGCACAATCACAGCCCCAGCCATGGGAATTTTGAGACAAAGACAGAGAGAAGGAAGAGGGATTAATTGGCTCTGGGGGCTTGAGGCCCAAGCCTGAAGTGAGGGAAGGAGAGGGTAGACAGTTACAGTGTGTAAAGATCTGAAAATTGAGTAGGAAAACCTCTCCCAAGTAGGAGGTACGGTTTGGGCACGAAAAAGCGATGCGCCTGCTGCTCAGAGGGCCGTAATTTTCCGGCGCGCTCAAGTGGGAGGTAGAGGGTGTGTCTAGAGAGGATTCAGAAGTTAGAGGCACAAGGGTGTTGAAGACCAGCCCGAGTGGCTTGTCCTAGTTTTTTTATTTGCTTTTCAATTCTCACCCAAGGACATTTTTCATTCCTTTTTTTTGAAAGAGGGAAAGGAAGGGAGAGACAGAGAAACACGCTGGTTCGGGGATCGAATACGCAGTCTCCGTTACCAGAAAACGCTCCAGCAAGTGGGCCACACTAGCCAGGGCCCACAAGGGGCTTGTCTTTTAATCCAAACATTAAAGCAAATCACCACCCTCCTCTGAGCCTCAACGTAATACGGCGAACTAAATTAAAAACTCACTCTTCTCCTCGGGCACAAGAGCGCGGAGAGCGCTCCCGCAACCAACCGATCCTTGACCTCACAAGCCAGAACTAGCGGCTGGTTTTGGCTCCCCCGACACTGCATTCCTAGGACGCATGCGCAGAAGCTTTCTATAGGACTCGCAGGTGGACAGCCTTCGACTCCTCCAAAACATGCTCTTTATTGGCTAGAAACAACTGCTCATCTTGGCCGTTGCTAGTAGCAACGTAGGCGGGTGTAATGTGGATTTCTGAGCTACAACGTACTTCCATTTTCTACCCACCGTCCCCACCTTGGCCGCCGCAGGCCTCACCGCTGTCCTCCGACCAATAGCAAATGGGCTAGTGGGCGGGACTTTATTAGTCCGGACCAAACAAATGCGGGCTCGTCCCACGTAGGGCGGCCAATAACCGAGGGGCAGCCCCTGTAAAGTGGCTCGGGTGTCCCCACGATCGCCTTTTCCTTCTCCGGGCTGTGCCCTCCCCAGCCCGAAATCAGCAGGGCGCGGGCCGCAGTCTGACAGAAACCGGGCCGGAACTAAGATGGCGGCGGCCGACGGCGACGACTCCCTCTACCCTATCGCGGTGCTCATAGACGAGCTCCGCAACGAGGATGTTCAGGTCCGGAGACCACGGGGGTCTTTGGGAAGGAGGGAAAGGGGACCGGGAGCACTGGTGGCCCTCGCGGTGAAGGCTCGGTGTTCCCTGGGAGTGGCGGAAGGGGTGGCGGCCAATCAGCGTCCAGCTCTCTTCTCTCCGGATCTCTGGACTCGAGGAGACCGCGCCCTGGATTGGGTGTCGGCCCAGCGGAGGGCGGGAGCGAGGGCGAACCTCGAGGGTCCCCGGGCCTGCCCAGTGCGCGCGGGCGGTTCGGGGCCTGGAAGGCCGAGGCGGGACGGAAAGTCGGCAGCCAGGGTTCGAGAGAGGGGAGGGATCGGCGATTGGCAGCGGCCTCTGAATGGGCCCTTGGGGTTAGATGCGAGTGGGGGAGGGGCCGCCTGATTGGTCGAACCCGAGTGGGATTTTTCTCTTTTTCTGGGTTTCGGATACTAAGCCTCATCGCCGCGGGGTCAATTCCCGAAATGGGAAGGTGAATTGAGAGGTGAAAGCTGCCTTCCCAATACCTGCCCTCCCTTCTGGTTCGGGAGATCTTGCTAAATTTAGGAGAGTTGAGAGGTGGAGCCCCGCCCAGCTTCTGGGACCCTCCCATTGTCCCGGTTGCGGGTGCTTGACTAAACCGGCTGACATTCTGGTGAGTGGGATGGGCAAGGCTCAGGTCCCTGAGCCCGGCTGGCGTGGGATTGAGAAGAGTTAGGCTCCACGGTTTGCCCACCCAGTTTCACCTGCCACCCGCCGCGTGATCTTGGGCAGATTACTTCAATGCTCTGGACCTCTGCTTTCCACGAAATGTGGGCTAATAGTAATAGTCGCGGCCTCTTTGGGGAGTGGTGAGGGACTGAATGAGTTAATAATACAAGTGTCATAGAACGGTGTGTGGCCTCTTGTAAGAGCCCAATAAATGTTAGCTCTGATTATCGGGAGATGTAGCTGAAGAGGTCCCATCCGCCCTTTGGGCCTCCATTTCCCTGTTTATAAAAGACAGCCGGTCGCCCTGGGCCCAGCCACTGAGGTTCCGGCCGGGTACCTTGCTGGTTCTGGAGTCGGGTACATTGCTGGTTCTGGAGTGACACAGGCTGCGGCTGTATGGCCAGCTCTTACACTTGCTGATTGACACGGGCAGGTTACTTCAGCTCACTGAGCCTTCAGTGGCTCAGGGAGCTTTCCTCTTCTCTCCAGTGGAGGTAATTATCTAGTTCATAGGGCTGCTGTATGAACTCATTTGTTCACTGAATACCTGCCACGTGTCAGGTACACTGTTGATATAGTGGTGACATCAGTGGTTATATAAGAGACAGATGTGAAACAGAGCTGAATACTTGAGTAACTTGTGTGAGATGCTGAGGGAAGGAAACGGCAGGATGTTGTGATAGTAACCCAGTAAATATTTGTGGGGGCCTGTACTCTGTGTGGGGCACAGATGCACAGCAGAGAACCAGACAGAAACCCCTGACGAGCTTACCTTGTGGTGAGGGGAAACAGACCATAAGCAAGACAGTCAATAAAATGTGTTGTCTGTTAGATGGGGATAGTGCTAAGAAGAAAAATGAAGAGAGGTGGGGGGGTGAAGTTTTCAAGAGTGTTCAAGGAAAGCCTTGTCAAGAAGGTGATGTTGGAACAAAGACTTAAAGGAAGCAGCAAGAGTAGGAGCCAGGAGGCTGTCTGGGCAGAGCATACAGCAGGCATGAGGTGGGCCAGTCAGGGAAGGGATCTCTAAGGATGCAGAGTTTAAAATGGGACCAGAAGGACCTAGTCCCTGGAGGAAGCTGGGGAAGCGCCTTCCAGGAAGAAAGAGCAGGCAGGTAATGGCAATTTTGCCCACCAGGAGACATTTATTTGATAATGTCTGGAGACATTGTGGGTTGTCAAAACTGAGGTGTTAACTGGTATCTAGTTCATAGAGGTCAGGAGAGCTGCAAAATTTCCTGCAATTCACAGGACAGGCCCCACGTCAATGAATTATCTGCCCAAAATGTCCACAGTGATGAGATTGAGAGTCACAAGTCTCCCAGGGATCTCACTGGGCTAAAATCAAGGTGTTGGCAGGACTGCTTCCCTTGTGGAGTCTCCAGGGGAGAATCTGTCTCCTTGCATTTTTCAGCTTCCAGAGGCTGCCTGTATTTCTTGGCTTTTGGCCCCTTGCTCCATCCCCAAAGGAAATTCTAGGACTGGAGGTGAGGCATAGGAGTCAGTGCCACGGGAGAAGGTAGACCAGGGTCTGGCCATGCTACGAGTTACTCAACCCTTCTGGGCCTTGATTTTCTTGTGAAGTGGAAGAAAAGGTAGAAGACATACTTGGCCAGGGTACTATTTAAGACTTTGTGGAAACATACCTGTGTCCACATCTTAGAAATAGGATGTGACAGGCTCCGACCCCTTTTTGTACAGTGCCTGGGGATTTGGTGAAGCAGAACTTAGAAATAAGGTTGCCATCTGAGAGTATAAACCAAAAAAGAAGTTGGTTGGATGGTGCTAAGGAACATGGGTTCAAGTTCCAGGCCCCATCACGAATTCACTGGGTGACCTGCATTTCACTCTCAGTGCCTTAGTTTCCGTGTCTGTAAAATAAACACAAAGGTGGTATCTGCCTCATGGGTTTGTTACAAGATTTACAAGAGCCCTGGCTGCTGTGGCTCTGTGGATTGAGTGCTGGCCTGTGAACCCAAGGGTCACCAGTTTGATTTCCAGTCAAGGCACATGCCTGGGTTGCAGGCTGGGTCCCCAGTTGGGGGTGTGTAAGAGGCAACCAATGGATGTATCTTTCACATATCAGTGAATCTCTCCCTCTTTCTCTTCCTCTTCCCCTCTCTCTAAAAATAAATAAAAATTTTTTAAAAAAAGAATCACAAGAGAGAACATATGTAAAGTCTTGAGCTTTATACATAGTAAGCAGTCTTTACATGGGATGATTTCTTACTGATATTAATAGCTGTTCTATCAGAAATGTTACAGAGGATCCAACAAGTAGTTGTTTAAAGAAGTGAAGGGCTCATTTTCTCTTTATTACGAACAAGAATTATAGAATTTGGGTCAGATTGTGCCCTTTTCACCTGCTTCCTGTGGTCACAAGCTTGCTGCCTCATTGGCTCTCATTAAGTCTTTGCTAGAAGCAGGGGCTGTTCTAGGACAGAGGTTTTCATTGTCCTTTTGCCAAGGAGGAAAATCTTCCCTGGGAGCTCTTCAGCTGACTTGCTCTTGTGTCTCTGTCCAGAACTAGGTCATGTGCTGTTGGTTGGGATTAGGTTTAGCTGTAATAGGAAAACTCTAAATAAATGAGCTTGAAGTTTATTTCTGACTCAAGATCAGAAAATCCGGTGGTAGTAAAAGTTTATGTGGCACTTTGTGGTGTTAGGGTCCCCTGCTTGCCTGTTGTCCATCTGTCCTCCTTATCCCCCAGGTTACCTCAAGGTCCCATGATGGCCGCTCAAGCCTCAGACATCATAGCCCCATTCCAGACAGGAGAGGAAAAAGCTATGACCTGACCTCACCCGCTGTCCTCATAAGGACACTCCCTAGAAGTCACACACAGCATTCCCACTTAGATTTCATTGACCACACATTAGACTCATGGTAAAATCCAGATGAAAAAATGATTAGGAAATGTCTTTTCTTGGTGGGGTAGGGGTCATGTGCACAGCTGAAAACCAAGGGTTAAGGAGCAACAGTTAGCCAATGCAGCTCTTAACCTGAGGTCCATCTATATTTTAGGGCAGGTCCGTGAATTTGGATGAGAATAATAACATCTTTATTTTCTCTAACCTTTAAATCAAATTTAACTTCCCCTTCTATTATGAACTCTAGTATCACAAGAGCATATTGTAAGTAGCCTTAGTAAAACCTGTGACTCTGTCACCAATGGAAATCATGACTGTTCCTTTCTCATTTCAGCCATTGCAGATACTTATAGTGCTGTTGGTGCTCATTTCTGTTTCAAAATTGTGGTCGCTATTAGACCTGATAAAGAGGTCCATGGACCCCCTTCCCCCCACCTCCCAATAAAAACACAAATGCAGGTTGTTGGTGGTTACAGGTTAAGAGCTAGCTGGCTGGAGTTCAGATCCCGCTCCTGGCACCTACAAGTGCATGAAGTTTCTTCACCTCCCTTAGCCTTTCCTTTCTCTGCTGTGAGGTGATCCTGTATTTACCTTATGAGATTGGTATAAGGATCAAATAAGTTAAAACATGAACATATCAAGAACAGTGCCTGGCATATAGTAAATGCCATGGATATATTTGCTTTCTTTATTCTTTCACTGTGGGAGGGGGGAAAGAGACCTTGGTGAACAGCTACCCAGCCGCCTTGTGCACTTTTTGGTACCGAAACAACACCAGGACCCTGTCAGCAGGGTGAGGTGGTTGTACTGCCATTATTGATCTACCTCTGATGCTAGGGTATTCCCAGTATTGTGTCACTTGGTACTCACAGTAACCTTCCGAGAGTAGATATTATAATTGCATTTCACAGATAAGAAAATTGAGGCTTGGAAAGGTGCAAAGTATGGCCCCAGATCCCACAGCTAATATGTAAAGCAGCTTCTTAGCCTTGAACACAGGCAGTGCGGCTCCAAAGCACTACCCTATGCTGCCTTTCATAAGCCTTTATAGTGCTGTCTACTGAAGAAACCAGCAGATACTTCTTTAACAAAAGATTTTATTTATTTATTTTTAGACAGAGGGGAGGGAAAGGAGAAAGAAAGGGAGAGAAACATCAATGTGTGGTTGCCTTTCACATACCCCCTACTGGGGACCTGGCCCACAACCCAGGCATGTACCCTGACTGGGAATCCAACTGGTGACCCTTGGTTCACAGGCCCATGCTCAGTCTGCTGAGCCACACCAGCCAGGGCCCAGCAGATACTCTTAACAATACCCAACCCAGAATCTCCAAGGATGCCCGTGGCAGGGTAGGCTTTCCACCAAGGCAGAGATGACCTGATTCTCATGGGTCCACCCCTTGGGCGTCTTCCCTAAGTGACAGCATGATGTTCAGATTAAGGGTCAGGGCACTGGCTTCTGGTCCTGGCTCTTCTACTTTCTAGCAAGTGACCTTCTATGTGCCTTAGCATCCTTGCCTGTAAAGGGAGGATTCCAGTAACAATATCTACCTCAGAGCAGAGTTGAAGGATTGAATATGTTCATTATCCATGTTGAGCCCTTGAATGTTGCCAAGCACATGGTAAACATCCTCTAAACGTTAGCTGCTATTGTTCTGGCATCATCACGATGATATTCTCTGCCACATCTCACTGTCCTCAGGGCAGCTGCTTGCCTGTTATGGCTCTGGCCCAGGTGTACATTTCCCCATAGCCCATGTGTCAGAAGAACCCAGAGACCCAGCTTGAAGGTGACAAAAAGGAAAGAGATAGGCAGCTAAGTCACTGCTTTCCCTGAAGTTTTATTATAGAAGACTTCAAACATACAGAACATTGAAGGACTAGTACCAGGGCCGGCACAGAGGAAGTACTCTGTGACGTGGCTGCTGCTGTTAGAGTGTGATGTGTAGTGTGTCCCACAGTGCGGGGGGGGGGGGGCGAGGGCATGTGTAGGGAGTTGGGGAGAGGTAGGTATGGTTTTCCACAGAATGATCTTGGAGAGCGCCACTGCACAAGTGTCAGCCCAGTAAGACCCAAAAAAGGCTTTGCTGAGGCTGTTGCCCCCATGATAACTTAATGACTCAAGGTCACAGTGGCATGGTTGGTGTTCACCAAGTTATTTGATATCTTCACACATACTTAGTTCTGGGTGCTGTCAGACTCCTTGAGTCTGGGCTTGCTCATGTTTCCCCCTCCTTTTCTTGTTCTCATTAGCTTCGCCTCAACAGCATCAAGAAGCTGTCCACCATTGCCTTGGCCCTCGGTGTGGAAAGGACCCGCAGTGAGCTTCTGCCCTTCCTTACAGGTAATGAGGTGCAGTCCTGGGGCCTGGGTGGAGTGGGGACTATTAGGGTGGTGCCTGCTGGATAAGGGACCTCACCGTGGATTTAACGATCATTTGTAAGTGTCCGTCCTGTGCTAGGCATCATGGGTGGGCAGGGACTCTGGAGAGAAGTGTAGTCCTCTGTGGAAATGATCTGGGAAGTTAGGAGCAGGGATTGGGGACAGGAGCCTGGAGGCAGGTGGAGGCAAGTATGAGTTGTACTCCAGCCATTAGAAGCTGGTGACTTAGACTACTTCACTCTCTGTATAGTTTTATATGTAAAATGGGGTGAGCATATATAATAATAATCACCAATACTTAACTGTGTGCCAGGCACTGTGCTAAACCCTTTCTTGTGAGGAGTGAGTTCATTGCCTGTTGCTCAGACTGGTGACTGTGCTCAGTAAGTAAGTCGCCATCATTATCCAAATTAATCCCACAGCAATTCCTAAGGTTGGTAAGGCTGCCCCCATTTTTTGGATGAGGAAACTGAGGCAAGAAAATATGAAGTAATTTATTTCCTCAAGTCATACTGTTAGGAAGTGACTCAGAGAGGATATTGCCTAGTCATGCTGGCTCCAAACTCACAGCTTTGGTTAATGTCTTCAGGTCCCTACTACCTGGGTTCAAATCCAAGCTCTACTACTTCCTAGCTGTGTGACTTCAGACGAGGTATTTCATATCTGCCTGCTTCCAGTTCTTCATGTGTGAAGTGGGCATAATTGTATAACTTGACAGGAAAACTAAGATGACATGTGAAGTGCTATAACGGTGCCCAGCATGTGGTAAGTGCTGCTTAACTGTAAACAAGTAGCCTGTTCTGAGCACTCCTATCTGTGAAGATTGAGGTACAGCACTTAGGGCAATGTCTGATGCCAATTACTAGTAAATTCTCTCTTCCCATTATTCTCATTACAACTTTATACGAATTAAAATTGCAGTGAAGGCCTCAGAGTCACACAGAGCCTTGTTACTAATGAGCTTTCCTGCATCCAATCCTTTCTCTTGGACCTAGTGACAGTCCTGGGGAAGAAGGGGACGGAGCTTGTGCTCCTTCCTCATTTGACAGATGAGAAAGTAAGGTCTGAAGAGGTACAGGGACTTGCCCACAGTGACTCAGCTATGACTCAGGGGCAGAGGTGTATCTGCCTCTGAATGCCATGTGAGGAGTCGGCATCTGCACATGTGACATTGAGCAGATGGCCCCAAAACAGCTTGCTTCCACTGCTGAGCTGTTGGAGAGACCTGAAAGCTTTCAAATGCTAAGTCAGGGATAACTTCTGAGGCAGTGAGGGACAAGGTGTGTGACGCAAAGTGTAAAAAAATAGTTAAAAAGTTGTAGAGAAAGAAAAAGTTGGAGGAACCTGGGATTGACACCCAGTGGTGCCACCAATCTCCAACCTGCTTGGCAAACCTGGGTGAGCCACTCCACCTGTCTGCCTTAGTTCCCTCATCTGTAAGAGTCAGACCTAACTCAAAGGGTCAGTGGAAGGATAAAGTGCTCCACTCAGAGCCTGGTCTGGAGAAAACACTCAGTGCCATGCCGGTGGCAAATTCTGTAGTGAGGTGGTGGGGAGGCAGCCCAGGCAGGAAAATCAGCGAGAAGAAACTGCAAATGGAGGCAGGCTGGAACCTGGTGATTCATCAGGGAGAGGGGCAGGGGCAGGGGGTTGATGGTGGGTTGGATTTTGCAGGCCTTGGGTTACCAGGTGACAGTTTGGGTTTAATCCAGTAGATGAAGGCAGGGCAGCCATTGTAGATAGATGGTAGAGGTTGGGAGCATGAGATGTAGAAAAATAAACCTATGGGCAAGGCAGAATTGTATTGAGAGTGGGATGGGTGAAAGGAGGTCAGAGGCAAGATGTCACCTTGGGACACAGCAGCTAACAGCAGAGACCTCAGGGCTAGACTGCTGGGTTCTGTCGGCCTCAGTGGGCTTTGTTGCCTCACCGGTAAAAGGGGAATGAATACTCATGTAATCTAAATTAGGGCCATTGTGAAGATTCAGGGAGTGTAATGTATGTGTTATCTTTATTATATTATAGAATCCCATATAATACTAATAATCCAAGTGAAGGGACGGTAGGGGACAGAGTAGTATGGGAACCATAGCTTGAAGAGGAGCCACTTCTTTAAGAGAAAGTTTTCTTTGGGCTGCTGTAGTCCCAGGTGATAACAGATTTTCTTTACTTCAGGCTTTAAGAAATCAGAAAGTGTTCAAAATAGTAAATGGCAGATATACTAAGCTGATATTGTTTCAAACAGAACAAGCTAAAAGCCTTCTCTAAGCTTCCACCTACAGAAGGTTCAGAATTGGCATTATGAGGGGAAATTACCACATAATGTCCCCACTGTGTTAGAGAGACCAGTGCTGTGGTAATTTTTGGCCATAATTTGTGAGACATTGGGGAGCTCCAAGGTGAGTCAAGTCACCTGTGTGTCTGTCATCAGGCTGCTTAGTAACCTGCCATTTAAAGTCTTGTACTCAGGTAAACATTAATGAAAAATATGCTCTGAAATCCCAGGTTTGCCTTGAACACACCTTGTGGTTTTGTGGCAAAGAACTTTGAGTGTAGGTTGCCTGAGACAGAGGGAAGTAGCTTGATATCTGCCTTTAGACCCTGACATTTCAACATCAGAAAAGAGGAGTAGCTGGTGGCTACAAGATTGGGGCAATGGTGATGACATTATGAGAGGGCTGTGGTAAGGAGGTGACCCAGAGCTCAAACCTGCCACTTCCACTCCCCAACCCATTGGCCAGAGCTTAGTCATGTGGCCATGCTAGCTGTAGGGGAAGGGAGCCTGGGAAATGTAGTCTGGCTGGATTGCCATAAGTCTGACTTCAACTCAGGAAGTTTTGGTGCTAGGGGATGTTAGCATCTTCTGTCGTGGAGGTCAGCAGTTCCACCACCTCAGGGAAGACTGGATGGAGCTGGAGGGAAAGGTCTTCAGCATCAGGGTTCAGCATCAGGACAGAGCATTCTTCACGCTGTCATGTAGTTATTTCAGCAAACCCGATTGGCCTCCCACTGTGCTGTTCTCTGGTAGGAACTGGGACACAGAGAGGAGCCAGCCTGGACTCCTATGACAAGGGACTCTGATAAAGGTGGTATGAGTGGGGGGAGCCTAGAGAAGGGACCTGTCTGATTTGGTCAGGAACTCTTGGCGAAAATCTGTAGCTGAACCAAGTCTCGAAGGATGAAGAAGAAATTCTCAGACCAAAGGGAAAGAGGTTCCTGCAGAGAGATTGTGCTGAGGATGAAAGCTGGACTGAGCCAAAAGCTTCCTTCACTGGCTCTGCTCTTACTCACATGGACCCTTTGCTCCTCCCTAACCCTTGTTGAGAGGTGGAGGCGAGGAGTACCATTTTACAGGTGCAAAAAAGACTCAGAGGTGGTCTTACTCACCCTGTGTCCTATACCTTGTCAGGGGCAGAAGTAGTACTTGGGTGCTCTGTCATTCGACCCAGGCCTGTGCCTTGATCTCTTTGCCAGTCCTGGGCAGTGTGGGGGTTGTCAGTGCCCACAGTTTGAGGACGCAGAGTGAGGCTGCTTGTTCCAGCTTAGATCTCTGAGAGGCCGGGGTTAGATTTTGGGTGCGACTGGAACAGAGTCTGTCTTGGTCCCACAGATACTATCTATGATGAGGATGAGGTCCTCTTGGCCCTGGCGGAGCAGCTGGGAACCTTCACCACCCTGGTGGGAGGCCCCGAGTACGTGCACTGCCTGCTGGTGAGTCTGGAAGGTGGGGAAGTACCTTTGCCCTCCCCTTGGGAGTCAAGGAGGGGACAATGTCTGAGGCACCAGGAGGTCATCTCCTCAGAACACATGGGCCTTGGACATTCACTTTAATCCAGTAAGTCAGAGCTTTGCGTTAGAATCAGGCTGGCTTCTCCCACTGGTTTACTATGTGACTTGTAAAAATTACTTAACCCTTCTGTTCTGTTCTTTGCTCATCTCTAAATGGAACTCATTAACATCTATCTTTATAATTGACTTAAGAAGCCCTTAATAAATAAAATCTTTTAGAAAAAGAAGAAGCCTTTAGGCACAGAGTAACTCTTAACAAGTGTTAGCTGCTGTTGTCATGAGTGCGTGTGTTATGTGGACATGTCCACCGTTGGGGTAGGGAGGGTTCCCTTTTTATAGGTGAACCACTGGAGCACCGAGAGGTTGAGCATTTTGTCCAAGATCGAATGGCTAGTAAGTGGCAGAGCTAGGATTCCAGGTGTGTCCGTTGGACTCTCCCTCAGGCCCCTGCCCACTGCCTGCCTGTCTGGCCCTGCACTTGTGATGACCAGGGACATAGACATGCATCAGATGCTAACAGGAACTGCTGTCTGGGAGAGGAGGAGAGAGGTCTCCAGTCCTGTGATCTGGGAAGAAAGCACCTTAGAGCTGGCCCAGGCCATGGTTTTCTCTGTTCCCCAGACCCCTGAGCGTTCGCGTTTTCCCCAGTCATTCTGTATTTCATGGTTTCTAAAGACACATTTCAGACTTTGGCCTCTGCACTTGATGGTGTCCTGCAGTTATCATCAGCAGCCATTGTTCCTTTTAGTGGTATGAGAAGCATCTTGGATTTCAGCAAATGTGGTGATTTCTTTTGTCCCAAACAGCATTAGTCTAAGGGAATTTGCTAATTGCCATTCATTGGTGGTATATGAGCTTTCACCTGTGTGTATGTGTATAATACGTTTGTATGTACACAGGAAACTATATATGAATGAGTTCGTTTACATTTCTCGTAGAATAGGGCTGTGAAACAAGAGGAACGGGAGGCCCAGGGACTGGCCTGAAAGGGGCCCTTGAACTCTATGGAACTCTCTGCAGCCACTGGCCTTTGTCATCTGAGAGAATTCACAGCTTTCAGTAGCTTCTCAGAGGACTTGAGCAGAAAATGCTGCTAAGAACTCCAGAGCTCATAGGTAGGGTAAGACTCAGGCTTGCTGGGAGCCAGCACTGGCACCCAGGGGTCCTTCCCCAGTCAGGACAGAGTCTGCCCACAGAGCATTCTCAGTGAGGTGAACCCCAGTTTTCCCACGCTTCTTTCTGGGGAGCAGTCATGTGTGACCTCTGGTACTGGCCAGCACAGACACCCTGAGGCCCTCTGGGCCTGGCAGTGCTGGGAATCTAGATAGGAGTTAGGTCAGAGTGGCTGACACTCATTCAGTGCTCGGTGTGGCATATGTGCCAAGTGCCCGAGGCATAGTAACCCATCACATCTCACAGTGACCCTGTGAGAAACGCCCCAGTTCACAGATGGGAAGCTGAGGCACTGCCGGTTTAAGTGAATTACCTGAGCAGGAAAGAGGCATTCAGGATTTGAACCCAGGTTGCTGCCTCTTAATCACTACCTCTCCTCTGTACCATCCTCAGAGGGCTCCTGGGTGCTTCAAAGGCTGCTCAGAGCTGGGAAAGAGGGAAGCTGGGGCCTTTACTTAGAACCCAGAGGAAGCACCTAACCCAGTTTAGATGAGATGGGGGTGGGTATGGAAGGCCTCCTGGAGGAGGAGGCTGTTAACCTGGATTTTGACAAGTTATGAGAAATGGAAAACAGCTATTGTGCAGTTTGTTTATCCCATACATATGATCAAGGACTGTGAGCTGTGGGAACCCAGAAGGGCGCCTGACCCAACCCAGCCCTCCATCTCGGTGGTAGTAAAATGGAATTAATTTCCCAGGTACCCATGCAGCCATGGCATCAGGATTGTTCCTATATGCACAGCTCCTAACCTTTTTGGAATGGTGGATCCCTTTGAGAGTCTGGACCCTCTCTTCTTGAGGCAACAGATGATTTTAGGATTTTCTCCCCTCCCTCTCCCTCCTGGCTTGGTCTCAGTTTGGGAACCCTGCCCTCTATTATTCACACACAGGCCCCATCACAGTGGGTCCTCATTTGGCATTTCCTGAGTGTGTACCTTCCTGTGCTCCACCTTAGACTCTGATTCTTCAGGTGTGTGCTGGGGGTACCTCCTGGGTGACCCTGGTGTGGGCCATCCTGGCACCACACTGCAAGAGCCTGCCCCTGTGGTAATCTCTGGTGCACAGACCCATAGCTAACTACTGCCCAGCCTTGGTCCCCAGGCCTCTCTGACCATAACAGGTTGTGTAAGTTCGAATTCCAGTCACTTAGTAAACGCTGACTGAGTGCCAGTACCTGCAGTAGCCCAGAGACATCACCCTCCCACTGCAGCACCCCTGTGAGCTGTTCCTGAACCCAAAACCCTGGGAGAGTTAGCAGGACCTATGACAAAGGCTCACCCTGGGGGGCCTCGGGCTGGCACAGCATTACATTTTCCTCTTGAATCATTGCCAACCTTTTGTAAATGAGATTTTTAAAAACTTAATTATTTAATTTGTTTTAAAATGTTTTATTTTGGTAAAATATACATATATTTTTACCGTTTTATTCATTTTTAAGTGTACAGTGCTATGTACACTCACATGATGGAGGAGCCATCCCCACCATCCGTCTCTGCATCTTACCTTCCCAGAGTGAAACTATAGTCATTGACCAGTAACGCCCCCTGCCCTCAGAAACCACCATTCTACCTTCTGCATCTATGGGAATCCTGACTGGCTGATTTCATTTAGCATGTCTTCAAGGTCCATCCGTGATGTAGCACAGGTTAAATAAGATTTGTTTTACACTTAAAACCTGGCCCTTTGACCACTCTTGGAAAACCAGATTGGCTTTTACCAGCTATGTCATCCCCCCACCCTCCTCAGGGATGGTTGATGGTGGGAAGCAGCTTTCCTCCCCGGGCTGCATGCCATGGTTTCTGTCTCTCTCTGTTGTCCCCACCTGTCGCCTTTCCTTACTGCTTCATTCTGGTATCTGTCTGGGCCCTGGCAGCATTTTCCTTTGTGATTTCTTCCTGCCTTCTTTTCTTGTATCTGTCAGACCATACTGGACTTCAGACCTCCACACCTTTATTTGAACAGCATAGAGTGATAGAGTCTTCCTTCCTTAGATCAGTGCTTACTGAGTTCCTGCCCTGTGCTAGGATCTCTGCTATACTCTGGGGACACAGAGGTGAGCTAATCAAGTGTCCCTCCAGGCCTCACACTAACAAACCATTGAGCAGTCCCAAGCCCTGGGGTCCCCTGCTAATGCGAGCTCCTGATGCAGTCGCCTGTCAGAAACCACAGCTGTGCTTTCAGCCCTTGGAGACCCTGGAGTCAGGTGACCTGGTTTAGAGCCTGGAGTGTGAAGCTAGTGACAATTGTGGCCCTCTCCTCAGAAAGTGACATGAATCTCCCTGGCTGGTGTAGCTCAGTGGATTGAGTGCTGACCTGTGAACCAAAAGGTCACCAGTTCAGTTCCTGGTTGGGGCATGTGCCTGGGTTGTGGACCAGGTCCCCTGTTGGGGATGTGTGAGAGGCAACCCATCATTGTATCTCTTGCACATTGATGTTTCTCTTTCTCTCCCTCTCTCTAACCCTCTTTTCCCCCTCTCTCTAAAAATAAATAAATAAAATCTAAAAAAGCAGGGGGGTGTTACCTTGATATTCCAAAGATTTTTTTTTTTTAAGGAAAAAGAAAGTGATATTACCATTTTGAGGTTCCTAGACCCACCTCGCTGAAGCTCCCTTAAGGACCTCTAAACGAGGCTTGTTGTGGTTCTTCAGAGAAGACACGCTGGTTGAAGGCAGGGATGGGGTGATTACAGAAGGTTTCTGGAGAAAATGAACCCATGAGGGTTAGGGCTCCAGGGCCAGGGGTGGTGGGGAGGGAGCCATTCTGTGACATCATGCTCTGTGCCATAGCCACCCCTGGAGTCGCTGGCCACAGTGGAGGAGACAGTGGTGCGGGACAAAGCAGTGGAGTCCTTGCGGGCCATCTCACACGAGCATTCGCCATCTGATCTGGAGGCTCACTTCGTGCCACTGGTGAAGCGGCTGGCGGGCGGCGACTGGTTCACCTCCCGCACCTCGGCCTGTGGCCTCTTCTCTGTCTGCTATCCCCGTGTATCCAGTGCCGTGAAGGCGGAACTTCGACAGTGAGTCCTGGCCATGGCCCCTGAGAAGCTCAGCCTCCCCCTCAGCCTGGTCCTCTTCTCTCAAGCCCCAGCCTATTTAGGACTCCCCAGGTCCCAAACACCCCTGAGCTCTCTCACCCCCCAGCTCCCTTCCCACTCTTCGGAGAAGCTGTCACCAAAGGCCTGGCCTCCAACCCAGACACTGCCTCTTGCTTGTTTATGAATGGAAATGACACTTCCTTCTGAACCATTGGTTCTTGGGAGGATTTAAAAGAATTACCGCAGATGAAGTGCTTAGAACAGAATGTGGCACATAAAAGTACGTAATAGGTGATGTGTGGTGCTATCTTAGTCCTCCCCCAGGTTCAGACCCCTTGGTAGATGCACTGTTTCTTGGTTCAGCCTCCTCCACACTCCTCCCCCTGGGCCTGATACCTCAGGGAATTCCTTGTATGCAAGACTTGCCTCCCTGAAGAATGAATGAAAATGGTTTTAATTGGATGGCAATTTCCATTAATGTGTTTTTTCTCCTCCCTCTGGACTTGTGTGTACCCACCAAGCCCACAGACTTTTGAGCAGTAAGCCTAGGCCCTGAGCCCTTACTCACCCAGAGTACAACTGGACAGCTGCCCACATGTGCTTAGAGATCTGCTTTCAGCCTACTGTGTCTCCAACAGAATAGGTCACTGCCGAAAAGTAAAATCTTTGAGTTGCTCCAGACCAGCATCTCAGCTACACAATTTTATGTGGTCATTATAACATAATCAGCACCTACGTTTCTCTACAGACTTATGTGCAGACAGGCTGCTATGTGCTCACACATGTGAATTTGTTTAAGCCTCATGATGAGCCTGTTTGGATAGGTACTGTCCCTATCTGTCCATTATATAGGGCAGGGAAGATGGAGAGGACAAAGTCAGGACCTTTGTGACTACAGTCTGCTTGCTCCTCTCTGCCATGTTGCCTGCTGCCTTGAGATCCCAGGATTCCTTCTCCTAAGCCCCATCCTGACCCCCAGGTACTTCCGGAACCTGTGCTCAGATGATACCCCCATGGTGCGGCGGGCCGCAGCCTCCAAGCTGGGAGAGTTTGCCAAGGTGCTGGAGCTGGACAACGTCAAGAGTGAGATCATCCCCATGTTTTCCAACCTGGCCTCTGACGAGCAGGTGGGTTCTGCTGTCTGGACCTCCCCAACCCCTCCCTCTGGCAGGCCCTGCATCCAAAAGAGAATTCCAGTGCTAACGGGGCCTCTGCTGCCCTCTCTCTGCCCACATCCTCTCCTAGGACTCGGTGCGGCTGCTGGCGGTGGAGGCGTGTGTGAACATTGCCCAGCTCCTGCCCCAGGAGGATCTGGAGGCCCTGGTGATGCCCACCCTGCGCCAGGCTGCTGAGGACAAGTCCTGGCGCGTCCGATACATGGTGGCTGACAAGTTCACAGAGGTAAGTGAGGGACTATTAACAGCGTCTCACATATAGGCAAAATGAGGCCCTTAGATGCAAAGGAGTGACATGCGTAGCAGCAACTAAAGTTCATTGTGGTGACATCGTCAGGTGTGTGAGCAGTGTGGTCTCTGATCATCCCATTGGACCTCACTTCACACACCGACCTGGTTGCTTGGTAGTGGTACCTCGAAGCATCATTTTGAGAAGGGCTCTGATGGCCAAGTTCTATGGGAGAGGGTGACCAGGAGCAGAGAAGGGTAGTAGTGTGTGTGCCTTCCTGACCTGATCAAACTTTCTGTTCTTGGACAAAAGGGACGACGTAGCCTGTCCCTTTCGCTGGGGTTTGCTGGGGCTGCTGTTGCAAAGTACCACACACTGGGTGTACTCCATTTCCTCACAGTTCTGGAGGCTACAAGTCTGAAGTTAAGGTGTCAGCTGGGTGGTTTTGCTGAGATTTTTTTCGTGGCTTGTGGATGGCTGTCTTCTCCCTGTGTCTTCACATGGTTGTCCATCTGTGCATGTGTTTGTCCTAATCTTCCCTTAAAATGACTGCAGTCATTTTGCTTTAGGGCCGTCCTAATGACCTCAGTACACTTTAATGCTTTAGAGACCCTGTCTTCAAATATAGTCACCTTTGACATGCTGCGGGGTTGAGACTTCAACATATGAATCTTGGTGGTGGGGAGCACAGGCAGCCCAAATGCTTGACTAGTCAGTGACACCACAGGCAGACAGAACAGGGACGAATCCCACATCTCTTGAATCCCGGGACAGTGCTCTTTCCACGGCACTCACATGTGCTTTGATCCCACTAGTATGTGTGTCGAGCACCAGTTCTTTGGTGGGCACTGGAATGCTGTGAATTCAGCACGTTCCCATCTGTCGTGGAGCAGATGGCCTAAGGGGAATATCCAGGGAGATAAATGTTGTAGTCAAGTATCCTGGATGCTGGGGCGGACACATACGTGGGCATGGATGAGCTAAGGAGAGGAGGTGGTGTGACAGCTGTTCTAGAACATGAGTGGGTGAGAGCTGGAGCAGGAACTGATCTAGAAAAAGGGTAACACTTGCAAAGGACCTGTGGAGGGGAGAGCAAGCACAGGCAGGCACAGTCAGGGATGGCCCCTGGGGGCCCTTCAGAGAGGAAGCTGGAGTGGAGAGATAGGCAGGGCCCATCCAGAGAGGCCTCAGAGCCAGTGCACCCTGCAGCCCCTGGTCTCTATGAATATTTCCCCTGTGTTTGCTGGAAGGACTTGGAGTCTGAGGATGACATTTCCCAGGAACATCTGTTTTCCTCTGTGAAAATGTTAGCACAACGTGGTTGTGCTGCTGTGGCTCTGCTGAGAGCCTCAGCACCACAGTGAAAGGGGCTCCTTCCCAGTCTTGGCCCCTGGGCAGCATGACCTGGTTCACACTGGGGTTACATAAGAGCTCAGCCCTGTGAGAGCAGGGATCTTAGGTGGTTAAACAGTGCATTTGTTATATGAATACGAGGTGACATTTGCCCAGGATAGCATTAGGCCCTCCAAGGTCTTTACTTGTTTATTTCCTTCTAAGCTTCGAACCACCCTGCTGCCTACCAGGACTTCAAGACCCAGCTTTACAGTAGAACCCTGGTGTCAGGACAGGCAGGGCCTAGCATGCTTTCTTGCCCTTTAATTACCTAAGTGCTTCCGGTAACCAATTTTTAAAAAAGAAAAGAAAAAAACCACAAGTACATAAATCAAACAGTGAGAGCCACTATATCAGAATGTTTTGGATCAGGTAACGGAAAACTCAGCCCAAATAGCCTGAGCCATATGGAAGTCTCTTACTATTTTTCGTGTAGACACCACCACTATGCAGTAGGTATCCTTGTGGTCTATATTTTACTTTGGAGGAAATAGGATCAGAGATATTAACTGACCCATTCAAGTTCACACAGTTGATAAGTAAATTTGAGCCAGGCAGTTGGACTGCAGAGCCATACTTGTAACCACTGCCCTGCTCTGCCCAACTCTCTCACATAGTGAGGAAACCTTAGCTCAGAGATCCAGAAACTTGCCTGGGGTCACTCCCTGGGCTAGGAATAGATCTTGGCAATGCTTGGGGTCATACTTTTGCCCCTAATTCTGGTACCTTTAATTTTGATTTTGGTCTCATTTGCCCAGAGAGCTTGCCAGACTCTCACTTTCCCTTACCTCCTGCCCTTTTTGCAGCTCCAAAAAGCCGTGGGGCCAGAGATCACCAAGACAGACCTGGTCCCTGCCTTCCAGAACCTGATGAAAGACTGTGAGGCCGAGGTGAGGGCCGCAGCCTCCCACAAGGTCAAAGGTTGGTGCTGGCGACCAGAACACCACAAGTGGGTGGGAGTTGGAGGTGCAAGTGGGTGGGGGTAGAACCAGGATATCAGGTCTCACTGCACCCTCCTCCCTTCCCTTGTCCACAGAATTCTGTGAAAATCTCTCAGCTGACTGTCGGGAGAATGTGATCATGACCCAGATCTTGCCCTGCATCAAGGTAAAGGGGATTTAGTGGGAGGAATAGAGCAGACTGGGGCCTGCCAAAAAGAAGGGTGGAGATTGGGCTTTAGGGACAGCCAGATGCAAACTGAGTTCCCAGCTTTGTAGGGCTGGGCCGGCTTGGGTTTGAAGTAGTTGGGGACCCTGAGAGAAGGCAAAATCTGAGGCTAGGAGCTGAGCTTCAACATGAGATGCTTCCCCCTCAAAGGCCACTGAGTCCCCACATCCAGAATGCTTTGGGATCAGATGGGGACTGCCAGAGCAGGGGTCATTGAACTCAAAGCAGGTGGGACATATAGGAAATTATAATTCCCCTTATAACCTAAGCTGTCCCTGCTTCATGAATGACAAGGGCAAAAGCAGACCCCGACTCAGGCTTCATAGGCACTGGAGTGTACTTGACCACTAACCCTGTGGCTGCCCCTTTCTTCTTCCTCCCAGGAGCTGGTGTCCGACGCCAACCAACATGTCAAATCAGCTTTGGCCTCAGTCATCATGGGCCTCTCTCCCATCCTGGGCAAAGACAACACCATTGAGCACCTCCTACCCCTCTTCCTGGCTCAGCTAAAGGATGAGGTAAGGGCACTGGGCAGGCTCTGAATTCAGGTTTGCAGAAGCAACTGGTGGTGGGTCAGCTGTTTTCTCAGATTGGCCAGTTATCTCCTAGAATCTCAATAGACTTCCAGATCTCTGATGAGTGAATGTGGGCTCGATGGCCTGTGCAGTCACTTGTTTGTTTATTGGGCAGTTGTTTTGCATGCCCTTACTCTGTGCTAGTCCTTTTCCTGGGCATTGAAAGTGCCAGAATAGACAAGGTCTTGATCCTCAGAGAGAGATTGGCAGTGGAGAGAGACATATGGGTGATCCCATGATTCCATGACAGTACAGGTTTATGTTTATTGTGGTACAAGCTAAGCCCCCAAAATACAGTGGCCTAAATAAGGTGGAGAATTGTTTCTCTCACAATAGTCCAGAGGTGGGTGGGCCTACGTGGGCATTTAGCTCTGCCTTCTTCAATGCCTTCTGTGTCTGAGTCGGCTGCTCTGATTTTTAGCACCTCCTGGCCAGCATGAAGGGAGAAGGCACTGGACAGCAGCAGGCTTAGGCCTGTAAGCCCAAAAGAGGGCACCCATCAGCCTACTCACACCCCTGTACCCCATTAACCAGAGCCAGTCATGTGAGCATCCCTAGCTTAGTTGGCCTGGGGTATAGAACATGAGGGAGAACAATGGCTGGGCAATGGCTGGGGGGCTCATGGGCCCCAGCCAGAGGAGTGTGGACTTAAATCTGGTGAATGGAGGAGCTGGAACAGATGCGGGTGTTAAGAAGGAATGCCAAGGCTATTGTTGAAGAAAGAGTGAAGTCCCACAGCCAGGGAGGTACAGGACCACTAGCTTCTAGTTGTCCTCTGCCGCTGGAGTCACATGGACAGCACTCACATTTCCCACTAATGCTGTGTGGCGTTATGTCAAGAAGTGCTGCTGCTAGGGAAGTTCACCTCGGCCTGGGATGGAGCCTGGAGCCCCAGCTTGGTTACTGTGTCCCCACCCTCTCAGAGTTCATGGCCACAGGCCCCCAGCATAAATTGGGTTGTTAGCACAATCTGTCTGGCTTGGCTCCAGGCACCCAGGTAAACAAAGACTAACCAGGCAGAATAGTCCAGGGGCTTAGAGACCATCCATTGGAATGTGCCAGCCTGCTGAGTAACCCTGTACTGCACTGCATGCTTACATACTTGCTTACTTTCGTCATTGATCCATTTCTTACTTGATGTGCATTAGAAAGGATTAGCGGGTGGGTCTACTGTCTAGAATATGTGATGTAGGACAAGGACCTGGTAGGGCTTCTGCTTCAATGAACAAGAATTAATTGTGTTTATGTACCTTGTCTTATAAGTTGCTTCACATACTTTATGGAAGGTAGATGGGGTCTATATATATGTATTGTAAATCAGTACTCATAATATTGGTAGTCAGCAGGCAGTTTAAGAATACTTCTTTATTTCATTGTTCATTCTTTCAGCAGCAATGTATTGAGCACCTGCTATGGACCACAGACTATGCTGGGTACTAGAGAGAGAGAAGGCTGAATGTGACGTGCTCCTTGTGGAGCTCAAGGACTAGCAGAGAGAATAAAAGTAATAGAAGTGATCATGATAAGCTCCCACAGTGTTAAGTCATTTGTGGATCAGATCAAGTGCGCACTTGAATAGGCTTACCCACCCTTTGGGGCTGGATGAATGTTTCTTTGTCACAGTTTGATATCCAGAAGTGTTTCCAGCTAGCAAATAGCCTAGTGGGATTATTACATGTTTATATTTTCCAGGGTTTCATGTTTCTATACTGCAAGTCCTGCAAGTCTTTCGAAATAGCTGAACATTTCTTGTACTATTTATGAGATTTGAAAAGCTGCTTCTCTTTTTTTTTTAAGATAATTTTTTTTAAGATTTTACTTATTTATTTTTAGAGAGGGAAGGGAGGGAGAAAGAGAGAGAGAGAGAAACATTAATGTGTGGTTGCTGGGGGCCGTGGCCTGCAACCCAGGCATGTGCCCTGACTGGGAATAGAACCTGTGATGCTTTGGTTCGCAGCCCAAGCTCAATCCACTGAGCTATGCCAGCCAGGGCTGAAAAGCTGCTTCTCTTAATAATCCACATTGCTTGCTTCTCATGTGCCTTTAATGTGTCCCCAGGGCCGGGAGCTGGGCCTGGGCAGTAGTAGGTCCTTGGGAGATATTTGTTACACAGAGTTGATGTTGTTGGGCTGTTTTCATCCTGTTCTGGGTCACCATGTGAAGTGCATGCTCTCAGAACCCTCTGTTCTCTCTTCAGTGCCCAGAGGTACGGCTGAACATCATCTCCAACCTGGACTGTGTAAATGAGGTGATTGGTATCCGGCAGCTCTCCCAGTCCCTGCTCCCTGCCATTGTGGAACTGGCTGAAGATGCCAAGTGGCGAGTGCGGCTGGCCATCATTGAGTATATGCCCCTGTTAGCTGGACAGCTGGTGAGTGAGGAGGTTGGGTGCCAGGCACACTGCCGGGGGAGGAACAGCCAGGGCCTAGTGTTGGTGCAGTGAGATGAGGGAGCTGTGACCAGCACTGCAGGCTGTGAGGACTGTCGGGGAAGTGGGAGGAAGGGGCACAGGAAATAGGGCCCTGGAAGATGAATAGAATTCAGTTAGAAATAGAAGGGAAAGGAACCCCTCCGGAGAAGCGGAGACGTGTTTATCTGTGTGGGGATTTGCTGGAAATCACCCAGACTTCCTCCATCCCTTAACTCATTTTCTTCTGCAGGGGGTAGAGTTTTTTGATGAGAAACTCAACTCCTTGTGCATGGCTTGGCTTGTGGATCATGGTGAGTTGCCTCCAGTGGGCTGGGGGAGGAGATGGGGCTCCAGGAAGATGGGTGGCAAGTTGGCTGGGGCCAGTGCGAAGAGTGGGCAGGCTGGAGTCATTCTCCTTGCATCAGGTGCTTGTCAGATGTGGACCAATTCCCTTGCTTTTTGGTATCCTGGAGAGGTGTTGGGTTGGAGGGGGACATAACAGATCACGTAGGGGCTGCTTAGTGTAGTGGAGAGTCCAAAGGCCACCGAGCAGACAGGCCTGGGTTTGAATCGCACCTCCTGTCTTTTGAAGCTTATTAAGCAAGTCACCTACCACACTTCTTTCATGAAACCTGGGAGTTCTCATCCCAGTATTTTAGGGCCATGGTGAGCATTGCTCACTGTTTTCACTAAGACTGGTAAAAAAACAGAAGTTAACATCTGTCTGTATCAGGCACCATTCCAAGTACTAAGCACTAAATTCTTTGCCTGGGCATATCACTTCTTAAAGCCCTTTGTCCCATCTGTAAAACAAGACCAGTAATGGAACCTTTGTCTTGGGGCTGTTGAGAGGATACTGCATGAAAAGAAAAGCTCACGTTTAGTATGTAGTGAGTCCTTTTGTGAGGAGCTATTGGGTCACCTGTGGCCTGAGACCTAGGGGCTGCAGGCTGCTCAGGAGTCAGTAGAGAGCATGGCTGTTAGATCTCACACACATCATTCCTTCACCTCCTGAATCCCTGCTGTGTCTCCCTTGCTCTCCTGCAGTCTATGCCATCCGTGAGGCGGCCACCAGCAACCTGAAGAAGCTGGTGGAGAAGTTTGGGAAGGAGTGGGCCCATGCTACTATCATCCCCAAGGTCTTGGCCATGTCTGGGGATCCCAACTACCTGCACCGCATGACCACACTCTTCTGCATCAATGTGAGCACCCCCACCTACCCACCTGCCTGTCCCTAGGAACTAGGCGTGCCTGGGAGAGGGAGGGTAGGGGGGTCCTCAGGGGAGACACTTGGCTTAGAGTGGGAAAGTGGTGGGGACCTGGGGTGGCAGGAATGTAACCCTAGGAAACTGTAGGCCAGAGGTTGGGGCTCCCCCAGTCAGAATCTCAGGGCCTCTGGGGGTGGGTACCTGCCTGGTGAGAAACCCAGGACAAGGGAGGGGCACTTGGCCTATTGAAGCAGTGATAGCCAAACCTTTCTGAGCACCCTATCCTTTCCCACACGTTGGCATGCATATTTATTTATCATAGAATGGGAAAGTGTGAAGGCTCTAGACAGTGTCAGACCTATTTTTTTTTTATTGATTTTAGAGAGGAAGTGAGTAAGAGGGAGAAACAGAGAAATATCAATTTTTTGTTCCACTTACTCATGCATTCATTGGTTGAGTCTTGCATGTGCCCTGACTGGGGATCGAACCTGCAATCTTGGAGTATTGGGAGAAAATTCTAACCAACTGAGCTACCCAGCAGGACTTAGACTTAATTTTTATTTTTTATTCTTTTTTTTATCTTCACCCAAGGACGTGCTTATTGATTTTAGAGAGAGGGGGCGGGAGGGAGAGAGAGAAGGAGAGAAATATTGATCAGTTGGTTGCCTCTTATTCATGCCCCAACTGGAGATTGAACCCACAGCCTTTCAGTTTATGAGTTGATGCTCCAACCAACTGAGCCACAGTAGCCAGGGCACAGACCTAGTTTTTAATTCTAGCTCTTGAGTTTATTAGCTACGGACCTTGGGAAGCAGAGCTCACTTCTAAGTGCTTGAGTTTTCTCGTCTGGAAAGGATTTGTGCTGGCAGTCACAGAACTTTCTTCACCAGGTTGTGACAATAACTGGGTTGTACATGCAAAGGGCTTAGAACAGTAAAGTAATAAGAGCAAGTGCTCCTTCCTGGTCTTTACAAATAAACCATACATGTGGCTAGAAATAAAGGATAACATTTTTTTAATGTGTTCTTTTTTTTTAAAAGATTTTACTTATTTCGGGGGGGGGGCAAGAAAAAGAGGGAGAGAAACATTGAAGCGTGAGGGAAACTTTAGTTGGTTGCCTCTCATACACCCCCAACTGGGGACCTGGCCCACAACCCAGGCATGTGCCCTGACTGGGAATCAAACCTGTGACCTTTTGGTTTGCAGGCTGGCACTCAGTCTACTGAGGCACATCAGCCAGGGCAAAAGGATAACATTTAAAAACAGTTATAACTAAGTGTTCAGATAATTTATGCCCATGCCTCATCTTGGAGACCACTGAACTAAGGAAGGGGTCTGGGGTTTAGGAATCAAGCCCATTCCCAGAGGATGAAGGGAAATATGGGGATGGATCCAGGACCACCTAGGCTGGGAGTTACCTGGGCTGGGAGATAGTAGTATTAGGAGGGTGTTAGGGGAGATGGAAACTTCAGGAAGATAAATTGTGCCCTGGGAGGGTAACTCTGGGCTCAGAGTCCTCATATTGCTCAGCTTTATCCTCAGGCCTGGTAATCATTGATATGGCCTGGTCAGAGGAAGAAGGAAATGGGAGTTAGCCATGAACTTTGGATAATCACCCCTCTGCCACTCATCCCAGGTGCTGTCTGAGGTCTGTGGGCAGGACATCACCACAAAGCACATGCTGCCCACAGTCTTACGTATGGCTGGGGACCCTGTTGCCAACGTCCGCTTCAACGTGGCCAAGTCCCTGCAGAAGATAGGACCCATCCTGGACAACAGGTGAGGCCTGTACTGACCCTTAAACGCTGGAAGGGCAAATCTGGTCATCTTAATTTTTGACCTTTGAAGACAGAGCCTAGAGTTTGAGATGCTGCACTGCTCTTCCCTTTTTGTGTCATTGTAGTGGGTCTCTTTTTCCCAAGAGAGACATTTAAAATATTTAAATGTCTCTCTTTTAATTTCCTCAGATATAGAATGAGAATTCACATGGCCTAACTCACCGGGTGGGAAGGGGTAAGAGGGCAGCAGGTCTGTATACTAACAACAAATCATTAGAAAATAGAATTAACAAATACAAATATTTTTGTATGTGTGTAATTTATAAGGGCACCAAAGCCGTGAAATGCCCAGGAGTAAAGTTAATGAAAGATATGTACACCTCTAGTGAAAACTATAAAACCACTGCTTTGAGAACTCAAAAAAGACCTACATAATATTTTTGGATGGGATGGTTCCCCAAATTCTTGTAGAGGTTCAGTGTAATCTCAGGCAGTGTCAGCAGATTCAGTAATACTGCTGTAATCTCAGCAGTGATAGGTTGGTTCTGGAATTTACATGGAAACACAAAGATCTGAAAAGCCAAGGAGATCCTAAAGAAGAACAGAGTTGGAATACTTGTGCTACCAGATACCAAGACTCACTATGATACTGCTGTAATTAAAAAGTGAGGTGTTGGCACAGCTTTCGAATGGCCAGTGGGACAGGATGAAGGGCACAGAAACAGACCTGTGTGTATTCAGCTTGTGCCACTGTGGTTCGGGGAGGAAAGTGGGTATTTTCCATAGATGATTGGGTCAGTTTGATAGGCATGTGGGAGGAAAACCATTCACCTGAGTGCATAAAGTTGGAGATAACAATCATAAAGATCAAGAGAAAAAAGATCTTAGAAGAAAGCATCAGAAAATATCCTCAAGACTTACAGTAGGCACAGGTTTTACAAAAGCTCACCAGAGGAAAAAAATAAGTTGTCCCTCAGTAAAATGAAAGAACTTCATCTAGAGAACACTGTGAGACTCTGTGGTAGCAAGCCATTGACCAGGAGGAGATATTTGCAGTGCACATTTCTGACAGAACACCTTACTCAGAATTACTGTCCTGCAAGTTGCCACCACCAAAGAAAACCCAAGAAAGAGGTGGGGGGAAAAAAAAGACGAGCTTACAAAAGAGATTCCCACATAGCCAATGAACATATGATCAGATGCTCAACATCACTAGTCATCAGGAAAATGCAAGTGAAAACACACCCCAGAATGGCTAAACTATAAAAAGCTTGGTCATTTGGTGTTGGTACGTTGTAGGCGGGGCTGTAGATGGGTGCAGTCTCTTTGAAAACTGGTGAAATCTAGTGAAGGTACACTCCATGAGCCGACACATCCACTCCTGGGTATATATCCTAGAGAAGTGAGTGTTTATTTCTAACAGAAGAACGTTTGTGGTAGCTTTACTCACATTGTCCCTGAAATGGAAACAACCCAAGAGCCCAACAACAGGACAGTGGGTAAACTGTGGTTTATTCATACAGTGAAAAGGAACTGCTGTACTCAACAATGAAGCTGACTCTCATGACTCTCAAACCATTTTGTTGGGTGAGAAGCCAGACCCAGGAGAAATGTATCCTGTGATTCCATTTATATCAATTTCAAAAATTGAACGGATCCAGATGATAGAAATGAGAATGAATATATGGGGAAGGAGAGGAGCTGTCTGTCACCATGGAAGGGGACCCACGATGCCTGCCTCTCTGATGACTTTCTTTGCATCTGGTCCAGGACACCACCTTACACTTTTAGTTCCTCTCTGAAGTATACCTTCATTTTCCAACACAATGGACTGTCTGTGCAGACAGATTTCCCTGGCCCCCTTCCAGGACAGCAGGTGCCTCCCCTGGGCTCCTGGAGGGTCAAGTACTTCCCTTTTAGCACTTGCCTCTCCTCTGTTTCTTACCATCAGTTGGTTTTGTCTCACTCCTAGCCCAAGCTCCTCATGGACAAGAATGAAGAGTGTTGGGTTTACCTTTGTTCACATCCCATCCCCAGTAGGCCCCAGTAAACAGGTTAAACAAATGAAAGACATCCATCAGCTGACCTCAGAGACTTGTGGGTTATGTGATTCTCTGTTCCTGTTGCCTAGATTGTTTGACCTCCCTGTACCTGTTCTGGGCCCAGAGACCTCTTAATTCCCAGGTGAGCCTGTGTCTGCACCTCGTTCTCCCAGCCCTGCCCAGCTCACCCTTTCTTTGGCCTTCCCCCTTCTCCTTCCAGCACGCTGCAGAGTGAAGTAAAGCCCATCCTAGAGAAGCTGACTCAGGACCAGGATGTGGACGTCAAGTACTTTGCCCAGGAGGCCCTGACTGGTAAGGCTTTGAGAACTTGGAGACCCATTGGGAGGGTGGTGTGCAAGGAGGGGCCAAGGCCTGGGAGCAGCAGCTCCTGGCAGAGGAGATACAGGAGCAGTTGTGGGTGGGCTAGCTGTGGTTCTGACTCCCGCCTGTTCCTGTTCCCCCAGTTCTGTCTCTCGCCTGATGCTGGAAGAGGAGCCAACGCCGGCCTCTGGTGTCCACCCCCAGGCCCCAAGTTCCCTCCTTTGGGAGACAGCGGGGGGCCTTTGACTGTCACTCCCTGTGCATGGTCTGACCCCAGGCCCCACCCCAGCACGGTTTCTCTTCTCCCCAGCCTGGGAATCTGACTTCTCACTGTCTACCTTCCAAGGGGCTGGGGGAGCACAAGGTGGAACAGGGCAGTGACCCTGGGAGAAAGGGGTGGCTACTCCCACCTGAGGGAGGAGAGAGGTGAATATCCCAGGTCACTGGTTCCTGCTGCTGTAATGGGGACCCCTCCCCAGTCTACTTCTCCACCTCCCTCCCTCCCCCTCAGTGGTTTTTTTTGTGTGTCAACTGTGCCGTTTTTATTTTATTCTCCCCCCTCCCCTCCCACCCCTTCACAGAGAAATAAAGGTCTAGAAGTAGCTGGTCCTCTGGTCTGTCACTAGCATGGAGGAGGGGGCTCCATATCAGGGCCATGGTCTCTGCCCTGTCTTTGGGAAAGCCCTATTACTGGGCATGGGATTCCTATGGGGAGTGCAGCTGACCTGCAGAATAGAGGGTCCCTGAGGTAGTGCTGGCCGGCAGAGTCCTGTACTTATGGGATAGGGGCATGGCCACAATGAACTTAAACCACAGGCTTCGCAGTTTTGCAGACGTTGGTGGTGGTGAAGAGCAGGTACCTTGGAGCCAGACTGCCTAGGTCCAAATCCCAGTTCTTTCCATTAAGTGCTGTGTAACCATGAGTAGGTTACCCAGTCTCTCTGAACTTGGTTTTGTACTCTGCAAAATGGGAGTAACTCTAGCATGTAAACTGTAGAGCTGGTTGTGAAGACTAAATGAGTTCATGCATGTCAGGTGGGTAGTGGTGCCTGGCACAGAGCAGCAGTCAGTGAGGTAGCTCTGACTTAACCAGAGAACCTCCTTTGGGCTGGTTCCTGCCCCTGAGAGGGTCTCAGGATCATCAGGGCTGTAATGGAACAGGAGAGATGACTGCCTGGATTTAAGGTAGTTTCCCAGGTCTCCTGAAATTTGGTGTGGCAGGTAACTAAATTCTGGCCAATCAGTGTGAACAGAACAAGATCAGAAGAGCATTGGTCCTGACGCTGTGACGACCCATATCGGTATCAGTTACCTAGCTGAGTTAGACTGTTTGAGTGACTGTTCGTTTGGGATTTCATCACTTGCAGGTCACCTGAATTCTAACTGATGCAGGGGCCAGTGAGGCCTGGACAGAGGAGCAAGAGACTTAGTGGATGGCGGTGCATGTAAAGTTTCACAGTGGGCATGAGGGTGTGATGATACTTCAGTGAAATTTGGCTCAGCGGGGTGGAGAGGAAATTGGTATATTGGCTGGCAAGGTGATTTCACCAGCTCAGTCCTTACGTTAGTGAGTCCTTACTGTTTGTTAGTTTAGGCCCAATTGGGCCCTGGAGGAATGAGGGTGAATGAAATCCTGTTTTTCCCATTATTAGCTTATTTTGTGTTAGTTTCATAAGGTCAAAGCCTGTGGTTTAAGCTCATTGTGGCCATGCCCCTAGCCCAAACAGATGTACCTTTCCTAGGATATAAATATTTGAAGGACTTGAGTGAGTGAAGAATTCATGAGATTGGGAAGTAGGGGTTGGAGGGGCAATATAATCACTTTCAGCATGATATTGAATGTTCTAGCTTAGCAGGCAGCCTACCAGTAGTTACTGAAGGAACATTCAAATGAATGAACCATGGTGTTACAGTTATGTTTTACTGCACAACAACCTACCCCCAAAGCTTAGTGACTTCAAACAATAAAGATGTATTCTTCCTCATAATTCTGTAGTCTGGGCTTTGCTCAGTTGGAAGGTCCTAGTGCTCCTTGTGGTGTCTCCTGGGGCTGAAATGTTTGAGATGACTTTCTCACTCCTATGGCTGGTACCTGGGCTGAGGCCTGGGACAGCATGTGTCCCAGGTAGCCTGTCCACGGTGGCTGGACCTCTTCACCTGATCGCATATGTCTCCAAAGCAGTTTCCAAGAGAAAGAGAACAGATCCCAGTTGAAAAGTGCTTTTGCACCACAAACCAAAACCAGCCACATGGTCAAGCCCAGAGTCTGTGGAGGGTCCCTGCCAAGATGTGAAAACCTGCAGGTGTGCCCGTGTAACAGCGTGCCACACGCTGTGCAGTGACAGACTTCGAGTTCCATCTTAGCTGTGCTACGCACATGGTCAGGGATCAACAGCACAAGGAGTTGAGGCTGATTTCAGAGTACATAGAGCATTTTGGAGCAAGGTGAAGAATTAAACATCCTACTGGAAGAACAGCCACAGGGTGTTTTGGCAAGGGAGTGACAGCATCAGAATTGATGGGGGGGCCACGAGGACAGGAGGTTCGGGAGGATTCTGGTTTAAGTGAGAGGAGCTTTGAGCTGGAGCAGGTACCATGGAGTGAGGGAGGTGGTGGGTAAAAAGGGGAACAATAAAAAGATTCCCAAGGAGACAGATTGGAACTCGGTGACACCTAGTTTTGGAGACTGAAAGGAACAATGCAGTCACCTTGGCAACCATGATTCAAGTGTTCCCAGCCTTATCACTCCCTTCCACCTGGAAAATGTCCATTGTTCCCATAAAATTGCATGTCTCCGCATCTTCAACCTTTTGGCCATAACATGAACATCTGCAAAGCTGCCTTCCTTCTACTCTTCAGGGAAACAAAGTAATTCAGTATGGGGAATGGAGTAAGTGAGAAATGGCATGGTACAGGTGAGCACGGAGAAGGATGTAGGGGCCAGATACCAAAGAGCCTCCAGATACCAGGATGAAGATCTTGAACTTGGCCCCAAGGAACAGGGTCCAGTGAGACTTGGGAAGATCCTTCTGGGGTCAGACAAGTCCAGGGGACCATGGAGGTAGTAGGGGTGATGGTCCTAGAGAGTGAGGTCAGGGCCTCAGCTAGGGTTGTGGCCAAGGAAAAAGGACAGGGATTGAGGTGGTGGACTTAACTCCTTTTCAAACCCTCAAGGAGTGTCAGGAAGGAAGGCCCTGTCCCTCCAGTCCTCCCATCTAATCAACAGATCTGTAGGCCTACCACATGCCCTGTTATCGCCCCTCTCCACTCCAAGCACTTCCTGTAGTGCAGCTGTGTTTTCCAGAAATGGGAATAGACCCAGTGTGTTGGGTGTGTGATGTGGGGGTCTTACAGACTGACCACTTCACAACTCCACAAATCCAGACATAAAAATACTTTGGTAGCTTAAGATCCTCCTAGGGCCCAGCCAAGGAGGGAAGCTGGCCCTACAAGTTAGATAAGGAAAAGCACTGTAGGAAACATGGGTCCTGATCTCTTAGCCATGATGCAAAATGTGGAAATCCTTGTAGGCTTTTTAATGAGTCATTGGGGGCAAAACCAGAACTCACCTGAACTGCTATGACAAAACTTGACTTAGATTGCTGTTGAGGGTTTCGCCCTCTTACATGGAATAGAAATCATAGCAGGAATATCCATGTGTTAGGAATATATTGAATTAATTAAAAAACTCCACAGAAAATCCCAGGCCCAGATGACTTCACTAAATTCTATCAAAACAGGAGTGTTCAACCTGTGGCCCATGGCCCACATTCAGCCCAGGATGGCTGTGAATGCAGTCCAACACAAAATCATACATTTACCTAAAACATTATGAGATTTTTTTTTGATTACGTGTCACAATGTATTTAATGCGTAGCCCAAGACAACTTGTCTTTCATTGTGGCGCAGAGATGCCAAAAGGTTGGACGCCCCAAAGAATTCTAATTCTTCACAAACCCTTCCAAGAAGTAGAAGGGAAAGATACACTTCCTGATTCATTCTGAAGCCAGCATTACTCTAACACTAAGACCAGACCAAAACACCAAATGAAAGAAGTCTACAAACCATTATCTCTTATGAAGTCATGAATCTTGACACCTGGATGTCATTTTTGGACCAATAGCTTTAGCATCTCTTGGGTGCTTGTTAGAAATGCAGAATGCCTTATCCCAGACTTGTTCAGTTTTATTTTTTTACTTCTGTCTTTCATGCTGAAAATCTTAATTTTTAGTGGAAAATCTTAGTGTTTAGTGTAAAAACAATGGACATAATTGTTTTATTCATATTTTAGGATAAGTGAGTATGTAATATGTAATACTTATATAAATAGAATATATGTTATATAATTACACATTCTATCTATTAGGAAAACAATAGATTTACTAATTCCAAACTAACAGATTTACTAATAATCAGTCTGCTGAGTATAGCTCAATGTTTCTTTATGGCTTGCCTTGTTTTTGAAGAAATGCCCTACTTATGTGGCCTGAGGTCACATAGTTCTTTTAACTTACCAGCTCTCACTTGAGAAGTGCTTCAGCCATGGGATGCCTAAAAAAGGCCCCCTGGCCCTGTGATCCCATTAAAGTCCTGACTTCTCCACCTAGAAGGTGACTCTACTTCTGTGAACTTGCAGTGGGGAGACTCAAATGAAAGCATGGCTCTATTTTGTAAGGAGCAGTTACTGATCAGCCCCCACTGCAGGCTGTGCTTACTCTGCAAGCCTGGGCCTCTGTGGGAGCTGAAGTTGGTTCTCCTAGGCCCTTGATCCTGGAGCTTGCTCAAGGTGATGAGACTGGTGGGGCCAGGATGAACCACACTGCCCTGATTACTCTTACTCTTCAGGCCTCTCCCTTTTTTACTATGGAGTAGTATTAGGTAGGCCAAAAAATCTGTTTAGTTTTTCCATAAAATAAAGGACACATTTTTCATTTTCACGAGTAACTTCATTGATTTGGATATTTTGAGTATGTCAGCTATCTCCTGCTGTTAGCTTTTAATGAGTAGAAGAGGAGTGCTGCTAGAACAATTTTTTTTTAATCCTCACCCAAGGACTTTTCATTAGCTTTTTGACAGAGAGAGGAAGGGAGAGAGACAGACATGGATGAGAGAGAGAAGCATGGATTGGTTGTCTCCATATACATCCATGCCAGGACCAGGAATTGTGCATGTCTGGACTGGGGCCATATGGGGTCACATCCTGACCAGGGATGAATCCAAAACCTAGGCACATGGTCTGACTGGGAATCAAACCTGGAACTTTCAGTTACAGGACAATGCTCCAACCACTGAAACCACTGAGCCACACTGACCGGGGCTAAAACATCTTCCAACACAAAACCCCATAGCAAAGAATTATTTGGCCAAAGTGTCAGTAGTCCCAAGAAATTTTGCAAACCACTTTTGATATATTCCATCAGTCACAACACCTCCATACACCGCAGAAGTCTTTGCATTTCAGTTGCATTTTTACCTTTCTTGAAATAATAAAGCCATAGTAGAATGAAAATGTTGTGTATCTCCTGCCATCTTCAATATTAAAATGGCTGCACAAAAATTCACCAATTTTGATACTTTTTAAAAATTCACACTGATATGACAGATGTCAATACAATTTACCAAAATTGTTCCAGTGACATTAAAGACAACTAAGCGCTACTAGAGCCATTGTATAAAACTGGAACGAACTTTTCGGCCAACCACAGCTTTTTTATCCACTAATCCACTTGCTGATAGACACTTGGGCTGCTTCCAAATCTTGGCTGTTGTAAATAATGCTGCAATGGATTAAATTCAAGTTGCAGGTGATGGTCCTTCCTGGATCCAACCTTTGTTCCATCTTCGCAAAAATAGTTTTCACCTGTTAAAAGCAGACGTCTTAGCTTTCAACATAACGTGGCGCACACAGCTCTAAGCATTTACCTTAAACTGGAACATCAACTTAAAGCACGCAGAAAGGCGCTCAGCTCCACATACCAGGAAAGAAATAGAACAGGTTCTAAAATTCAGAAAAGAAGAGACCCTCTGAGAGCAAGGCTTAATCCAGGCCCCTCTTCTACATTGTTCCGCCCCACACTCTCCGCTTTGGCCCAGCCCAGCCTTGATTTTCGACTCCTCGTGGCTCGAATGGTGGGCCCAGGACACACCCCTGATCCCGCCTTTCAGACAGCGCGCACCCGCAGATGCTTACAGACCCGGAAGTGGCTGTGGAGTATGGAAGGGTACACTGGCCTTTCTGGTTTCAGTATTGCTGGTGTAAACATGAGCGTCTCAGTCCACATTTCTCCACGCATAAAGCCTGAGAGTCACTACAGGCGTTGAAGTCCCCGAACGTGACTTTCTACAGCGGTGAGTCCGGCGTCCCCTCCAGATTCTCCAACCCCGACCATGTTGCTACCCTGACCGCCTTGCTGCCGGGTGAAGGGTTAGCGTTCGTTTCGGGGAAACTCTTGAGGCCGTCCCGCCCGTGGTCTCTCCGCCTTCGGGCCGTTGGACTCCGCCTGCCGCGTGGTTTATCTGCTTAAAGGTGTTCCCTGGGCAGCCCTTTCACCCCGCTTTGTTTAAAGTATCGGGAGATGCAGGCAAACATTTTGCGCCCCTCCCCCCTTCTCTCAGCTCTCTGTCCCTGGAGCCGGGACTGCACCCCGCCCTAGGGATCTGCAGACCCTCTCCACCTGCCGCACACTTAATAAGAGACCCCAGTCTTAGGAAGAGCACACTTTCCATGGGGTGGGACTTAAGACGGGAGAACGCCGTGTCCCCAGGAGTGACCTGCCCCACCGGGGAGGAGCTGTGAGGAAGCGGTGAAGGCGAAGGGGCGGCCAGGAAAGCGGCGGAACCAACTGGTGAGGGGATCTGAAGACGGAATATGAGAGACGGACACTTGAGGGAGAGAAGATGTCGGTGCGGGGCTCTAAGAGACTGCAACGTAGGGGAGCAGGGAATATGGGAAGAACGGGGCAGCCACGTAGGAGTGAAAAGGTAACTGGGGAAAGTAGCTGGAGGAGGAAGACAGGGGCGGAATGCCGAGGAGACTGAGGAGCCCCAGAGAGACGAGAGGAGCTGACAGGGAGAGGGGCCTGTGAACAAATGTGAGGCAGCAAAGGGCGAGGGGCTTCAGACGGACGTAGTGGTTCTATGGAGAAGAGGTGGGGGAGCTAGAGCAGGGACAGAAGGGGGGTTCGGGGGTGACGGGTCAGAGGGAGAAACAGCACTGAGTCAGCCCGCTGGGGGGTGACAGGAAAAACTGTAGTAACAGGGGCCGCAGAGGGGACACAGGCATGGAGTGTGTGGAAACAGACGCAAAGGTGTATGGAGGTGGGAGCAATCAGAAAGATCAGGGAGAAAGCGCAACTGAAGATGAAATAGGTTTCATGAGATTTTCGAATCAGGTGTAGGGACAGGAACAGGAAAGGGGAGTAGAAGCAGGGGAGGTGGAAGGGGAAACACAGGAAAGGACAGCAGTTCAGAGAAACAGGGAAGAGACAAACATCCATACACAGAAATGTAAGTACCAGGAAAAGAAGTGGAACCGGATGTGGAAAAATGGTGAGCTGTTGAGGTATGGACGATTAATTTGTGAGATACCGGCTTTTGCTGAATTGTTCCTGTTAAACAGTCGAATTGGAATTGCAGAACTTTTGTATATAAGGTTTGTTCGTTTTGTAATTATTTGCATCACCAAATAGCTTCCATTTACAACCCTTATTCATTCAGAGAGGAGACACTTGTCTGTCAGTAGTGGGTCCCTTCTCGTTTCCTGGGATGGCAAGAGGCAGGTGACCTGGAACAAGGAGTGACTGAGTCTCACCCCATGATTCTTTCAAGAAATAATGAAAACATTGGGTCTTTTTTCTCTCCAACAAATTCACATTTTTATATCTCTCACATTTAGTTTATCTTATAAAAACATATTAAAATAGATTTTAATTATGAAATCTTTTTTTGTAAATCATCATTGACTTCTGAAACAAGCTTTGTGACATCTCAGATAATCAGCTCTTACTGTCCTTTCTTAAATATGAGGTAGTCTCAACTTTTGCAAAACTTTACCTTTAGAAGTCATCACATTTTAAAAAATCATTTTCCACGTTAAATATGTTGTGTCTAATTTAGATTCTGAGCCCTGCACCCTTTCTGCTGTTTGTCATATGATGCAACATCCATTGGTACTTAGTGAATATCAGGCTATTGCACTGTGTATGTTGTAAGGATGTCAATGATCTTAATAGTCAGAACCTAGTTTCATGAGTTTGTCTAATGTTTTGTAGCCTTTTCCTTCCCTTTATGTGATTTGTTGAATTAGTGACTGTGAGCCACAAAGGAGCTGTCCCTTCTTATTCATTTTCTATAAATGTTGAAGAATAGACTGGTGTCACCTGGAACTTGGTTCCCACAGAGCTCATCTATTCATGGTGAAGTGATCTGATCAGCATATCTCCATAGTTAACCTTTTTTCATATCATTCAGTATCAAAATCCATGTTCATCATTTTATATTTTTTAAATAAAATGTTATGGTTTCCTGGAGAAGAGGAAGGAAATGCCTGTGCCTCTTCATGTAACCTGGCAACAAACAACTCTGTGATGGGAACACTGTTATCAGCAACTTTTGTACAGATAAGGAAACTGAGACACAAAAGTGAAAGGCACAGATATTGGAATCTCCTAGAGTCAGACCTTTGTTTTGTGATTATGAGCTGTGTGACTTTTCTGCAAATTATTTACCTCTCTGTGCCTTGATTTCAGCCCCTGTGAAAAGGGGATAATAATGGCACCTGCTTGCCAAGTGAGTGAATTTGTGGAAAGCAAAGCCTGGGCACAAGGCCCGTGTTACTGAGATGATTACTGCAAAATCTTTCTGTTTAATCCCTCTGTGCCTGTCCAGAATCCAGTGAAGCCTCCCTTCCTCTCTTGCCTACCTGCTCTCCTATTTCCACACCCAGTCCCAGGTTCTTTCCTTTGTTACACCTGCCCCATTTCTTGCTGCTGCTCTGGTCAGGCAGTCTCAACTCCCTTGCCTGATGGAATTTTGAAAACCCCACCCAACCAGCCCCAGGATAGTAGAAGGTACTGGAACACCCTGTGCTTTCTCACACCTGGAGGGATTGCATAGGCCCTGTCCTACCCAGCTCCAGGAGACCACTGTCTCCAGGCTTGTGGACTCCTGCATCCAATTATCTGTGTGGGGGCCCCTCACTCCCATAGATCCCCACTGAGTTCTCTCTTTCCCTAATCTCCCTCCTCCACCAGATTCCCCACTATTCACCCAGGCAGTGGGCCACAAACAAGGCCCTTTTTACCACCCGTGTCAGTCTCTAGCCCTGTCCCTTCTGATCCCTGACCCTGACCCTCTCCTCTGCTCCATCCCTATAGTCTCAGCCTGGCTGAGCCTTGTCCTCTCCCCCTGAACCCTCACCCAGCTTCTTCCTAGACCTCCAGTCTCTTCCAATCTGATCCTTTTACCCTCAGAAGGGTCTTCCTACATCCAGAGTTGACCCTCCCCCTCCTCTGCTCAAACCCTTCATGGCTCCCCGTGCCACCCATCCCCCCAGCAAAGTCTAGGTTTAGCCACAGTTGGGTGAATGGAGCCTCTGGCCACTCTCCTCAGCCTTTCCCGGTACCTCTGCCCAGCACCTGCTGGCTCACCCATTCCCTAGGTTAGGGCATCCTCTCATCTTTTTTCCCCAATGCAGACACCAGCTAGCAGCAGCGTGAGCAGCCAGTGAGCCAGAGCAGCTGTCAGGGCTGTGGTCCCCAAGGCCCCAGGACCCTTTGAGGACAGCAGGAGGGAGGAATCTGAGGGCAGAGAGGAGGATGGATGTCTGAGGACAGGGGCCTGGCCAGATAAGGAAAGAAATGCTTCCTGGTGCTGGCTGTGTGATCTTGGGTGGGCTGCTGGCCCTCTGTGCCTCAGTCTTCTCTTATGTAATGGGGACAGTCATTATGCCTACCTCCTAAGGTTGTCACAAAAATTACATGAGTGAAAGAGCTTGGAACAATGTCAGGCACAGAGGAAGGTTGCATTTTATTTTATAATTAGACAAATGTCTCTTGTGCTTGTCTATCAATTTGTTTATTTCTCTTCTTTGTGTGAGCTCAGTGTGGGTGACAGGACTCTGGTCTGTCTAATTTATTAGCTGAACCTACTATTTAGTGCTCATTAAATAATATAATTTAATTTAAATCAAATATTTGAATAAATGAACAAATGGAAGATAAAACAATAACAACATAAATTGCACCATGAAGATCCATGTTAGCCATAAGGGTTTATCATAGTGAATGTGCAGTGTTCCAGTAACTTGGTTTTTCAGTTTTTTCATAATAATTATGTTGGATGCTATTAAATTTTGGGACTTATCTATGTTAATCTAATCACATTTCCTCCCTGTAAATTAATTAATATCACTATTACTTTTAAAGATTTTTAGACTTATGGGTAATAAAAAGTATTTTTTAAATATTTTATTTATTAAATTTTAGAGAGAGGGAAAGGGAGAGAGAAAGAGAGGGTGAGAAATATTGATGTAAGAGAGAAACATTGATCAGAACCTCTCTTTTGCTCCCTGACCAGAGGCCAAATGCACAACCTAGGCTTGTGCCCTGGTGGGAAATTGAACTGGCAACCTTTCTCTTTGTGAGAGGACATTCAACCAACTGAGCCACACTGGCCAGGGCCATAATAAGTATTTTTCATATATAAATCCATGCTTAGAAATCCAACAATATAGTCACACTCACAGGAGCAAACATTAGATTGGTGTTGCCAGAGGCTGACAGGATGGGAAAAGGGGAGCTGGTGTTCAGAGGGTACAAATTTTAAGTTAGAAGATGAGTAAGTCCTAGGGATCCACTGTATAACAGTGTGCCTATAGTTAACACTATTATATTGTGCACCTAAAATTTCATAGAAAGGGTAGATCTTTTAAGAATTCTTATCTCAGTCCTGGCTGGTGTGGCTCAGTGGACTGAATACTGGCCTGTGAACCAAAAGGTCATTGGTTCGGTTCCTGGTCAGGGCACATGCCTGGGTTGCTGGGCCAGGTCTCCCCTCCCCCGCCCCCACCCCAGAGGGGTTGCTCAAGAGGCAGCACACACTGATGTTTCTCTTCTTTCTCCCTCCCTTCTCTCTAAAAACAATTAATTAATTAATTTTAATAAAAGAACTTGTATCAGTAAAAAAGTAACAAGAACAACAGTAAAATATTTGTGGGTCATTTGGAAAACATAAAAAAGAATGGAGTTGTAGGTGATATTAAGTATTAAAAATAATTTTGTGCAATAGTCTAGTTTTTTTGTGTGTGACTTTTAAATCTAGGATTAATTATTTATGAGATGTGAAATTTTAAGACATACCAGTTATATATGATATATGAACACCCAAATCTGGACAAGCTTCTAGAATATGCATCAAAGTGTTTTTGCTGTGCTCCTGCCCTATCTAATGGAGGGATATGAAATGGATGATATAAGAGTGGGAGAAGGTTGACAAATTTGGAAGATGTTTTAAGGGTACTTAGAAATGCATTTTATTTAAATTTGTAATTGTAAAAAGTTATATTTTAAAGCATTTAATAAAACTAAGACATTCATGTACTATTCATGAAATATGTTTCATATAATTTAAATCACTGTTGGTTACATTTTGATTAAAATTTAAAATCTGGCTCCTATTTTCATAGGTAAACATGCTTGTAAATTGTCCTTCAATAAAATCTAGCTGTTCCAAATCCCAGATAGTTTCCTCTCTCTTTTGTCAAGGGTGGAACACCCCTTGGTTAATGGTTCTTATATATGGAGAAAATAAAGTGTACACTTAATTTTTAAATTTGTTTTTGACTTTATGATGAAATTATCTGAAGGGAGTGATCATTATTTTTTTTACTAATTAATTGTTTTTATTTTTCAGCTTTTTAAAGTTTTACTAAGATTTAAAACTATTTTTCTCATTTTAATTGAGATATAATTGACATATATAACATTAAATAAGTTTAAGTTTTCTTTGTAAATCAGGCACAGTGGAAAATTAACAACAATAACTAATAATGAAGTAGAACTACTATAACAATATACTGTAACTAAAGTTCTCTGAATATTGTCTCTCTCTCAAAGTATCTTTTGAACTGTTAATTTCTGAAATTGTCCATTTAACATTTCAGACCTCAGTTGACAGCATATAAGTGAAGCCAGGGACAGTGAAACCAAGGATACAGGGGGATACGGTTCAGTACAGTATAGTAATGTTGTGCATTACATCCCAGGAGCTCTTTATCTTACAAGTGGACATTTATTTGTGCCTTTTGGCCACTGTCACCACCCTGACCTTTCCCCCGAACCCAGTCAGGCAACCTGCAATCCAATCACTGTTTCTGAGATTGTTTTTTTCAGATTTTATGCATAAGTGAGGTCATGTAGTATGGGTCTTTACCTGCCTGACTTCACTTAGCATAATGCCCCTAAGGTCCTTTCAGGTGCTGCAAACAGCAGGATTTCCCTCTTTTTATTGCTCAATAGTATTAGATATATTCATACATAGTATTCAATAGTATACTGTATATTCTATTCTATACTATGTATCCAGTATTCTATATATATAGGGATATATATTTATATATATATAATACCACATATATATACTATTCCATATACATACACATGGAATTGTGTGTGTGTGTGTGTGTGTGTGTAATTCCATTCAGGGTGGGGCAAATGTAGGTTTACAGTTGGGAGTAAGCAAAACACACAGTTAATAAAGCTATTTCAATAATTATAACCTGCACATTTCTTTATACAAACAACTGCAAATCAACTTATGTCCCACTCTGTGCATATATGGAAATTTCAAATCCAGCATTTGTATTTATAGGTAAAGATACTTAATTACATATATGCTCCTTTCTTTTTCTGCTGGTAGACATTTAGGTTGTGTCCTTGTCTTGGCTTTTGTGACTGATGCTGCAGTGAATGTGGCAGTGCAGAACTCTTTTGGGACAGCAATTTCATTTATGAAGGAAGCTATTTTTAAAGAGTGTACTTTTATTTTACTGTGACTTGTCAGTGTAACTTCTGTGGTCCAACTCTGAGAAGCCCTCACTTGTGATTTCACAGTGGAAAGCAGCAGATCCTGGGCATATTAACGGATTATGTTTCTTGAGAAAACTATAAGGCAAGAGGCCACCTGAGGCAGATCCTGACTTCAGAGTAGTGGAAAATAACATAACCCTGGGATTTACCAGGACAGAGTATATGCAATACTTTCCTGTAGGACAGAGATGGGGACCATGTTAGAGAGAATTCTTATGCCTGGTCTCATATTTTGTGTAAGTGTTCCATCTGGACGATACACTTGGTAGTGGTTTTTCTGTCTCAGAATCTCTGCCCCTCACTTGGTTGTAATTTATCTGACTCATTGTCCACCTGTCACCTGCTCTGCAGTAGACAGAGGGCCTTCCCCCAGCCTACTCTCATTTGGGCAGATACAGGCCCAGGGAGGTCCTGACAGAGACTGGGGAGGGTAGAAGAGATCGGGGACTTGTTCCTCTCCTATTTTGCTTCAGGTGGCATCTATATCATGGCTCAGATGATGGTCCTGGCTGCTGGGCTCCAGCAGTGCCACTTCATTCCCACTGACTGTCCAGCCCTGGGGGTAGAAGGAGCTTCGAGCTGGGCTCATGTGTTACTTCAACATTCTCTCTGAGTAAAATACCCAGAGTGGTTTATTTTTGTCAGTGGACATTGAAAGATGGATAAATGAAGTGTGAGAAGCATGAGGAATTGTAACTTAAATTTAGTAAATTAGGATATGTAAAATTTGTTGTAAAAGATTCTACCATATTTTATTTATTCATGTGTTTGTTTATTTGTGTTTATTTTTAGAGAGGGCAACATGGGGCGGGGGAGGGAGAGAGAGAGGAAGGGGCAAGGAGGGAGTGAGAGAGAGATTTGTTGCACTTTTTCATACATTCATTGTTTGATTCTTGTATATGCCCTGACCGGGGATTGAACTCCCAACTTGGGCTCAATAGTCTAGCCAACTGAGTGACCTGGCCAGGGCTCCATATTTTATATTAGAAACATTTACTTTGGCAAAGATTTTACTCTATTTTCCTTTGAACCTAAAACAGCTCTAAAAAATAAGTTTAAAAATTAAACTACAGTGGTATGTGGAGCATGAAACACTTGAGAACATTTTAAACGATTGAAAGCTCTGAAAGCATATTGGAAAACTAGGCTTTTAAAAAATGTACCTTAATTACATTTAAGTAATTAAGCTCAGTGGGTTGAGCACTGACTAGAAAACCTGAAGATCACAGTTCGATTCCTGGTCAGGGCAGAGGCCTGGGTTGTGGACCAGGTCCCCAGTTGGGGGTGTGGGAGAGGCAACTGATTGATGGTTCTCTCTCCCATTGACGTTTCTTTCCCTCTCTTCCTCCTTCCCCTCTCTCTATAAATAAATACAATCTTCTTAAAAATAGAAGAAAATAGATATATATCATATACCTATAGCTAGGTACTACAATTGTGTCTTCACAATTCATAAAATTCTTTCACACACCCATAACAAAGAAAAAATGCTGATCTCTGAATTCAGTTATAATCTGCTTTATTACTAAACACGTATTACGATTTCCTCTGTGTATCATCAAGTCTGCATTTATGGCATCATTTTCAAAGGCAGCTGTTCCTTCCTAGCAGATGGTTAATCTGTGCCCATTTCTCCTTTTGCTTCCCGTGCTCAGTGGACATAGATGTGGCTGTGCCCATTGCAGGACAAGTTCTGCCCCTGGGAATCTGACCAGGGAACCTAGTCTTCTAGAAGTTTTTGCCTCAAGTCCTTCCAGTGCCCAGATGTCTCAGGTGTGCTGGGTCTGATATCTGTCACCCAGTGCTACTGAAATCAGCTCTGGGGGAGCAATGAAGGCACCTCAAGGGAACTAGGTAAAGATGCCATGTCATGGTCCTCACTGCTGACTTGCAGAACCATAACTTAGAGTGGGACCCTGATCCCCAAGGGATCATCATGCTCATTAAACTTAAATGGTTCCCCTCCAGGTTCCCATTAGCTCACTTGAGGAGTTTTAAGAAATGACATCAACTGTGTGTGCCCCCACAGAGTTGGTCAACTACTTGGGATGGAGCGTCTTTGTTTTTTTTTTTTTTAAATACCGTGAGATTTACCTGTATACAAATTTCTTTTCTTTAAGATTTTATTTATTTTTTAGAGAGGGAAGGGAGGGAAAGAGAGAGAGAGAGAGAGAGAGAGAGAGAGAGAAACATCAATGTGCGGTTGCTGGGGGTTATGGCCTGCAACCCAGAAATGTACCCTGGCTGGGAATCGAACCTGGGACACTTTGGTTCCCAGCCCGCGCTCAATCCACTGAGCTACGCCAGGCAGGGCTGCGTCTTTGTTAATGAGGTGCTCCAGTTAATGCTCAGGTGAGCCCAGGGATTAGCAGGAGGGCTTCCGAATGCATTTTTAGAGTGGGGAGAAATCTTTGTTTAGAGGAGATAATGGAGTTCTCTGTTGGGGCTGAGGGTTCAGGAAAGCAGCACACATTCTCATTGCTCTAGGAGTTTATGGACATCTGTGGAAGGAGAAAGCACCTGAAAACCAAGAAAAAACTGGCAGTGTGGTCTCCACCTAGAAGTTTATTGTTCCTGACTCTTCTATGACAAAGGACAGGAGAGAGTGGCCTTTTCAGCTTTCCAGGTCCTTCTGCCTGTGAGTGTGGTGGAAGTGGAGGAAGGGACTGTGTGGACACCTTTGAAGGCACATCCTCAAAATGCAGACATGACTCCTCAGCACATCGTCCCCTGAGAAAACAACCCAGAGCAGGACCAGGACAACATGGCTGCTTTTCAGGTAAAAGATACGACTTGAATCAGAGGCTGTGTCTGCTTTCTTTTTAACATCAGTGGATTTAGAACCTGCAACCTTTAATCCTCTAGTTGTGATGTTTTTTCCTAGTGATATTTTCACTTAATTATTTTTTTCTTTTCTTGTTGTGATTGTCTAGGTCAGCAGTTTATATAGTTTTCTCCTTTGTCCCAGAGGCTTCTCTACATTCTCTTTATCCAGCCTTCCCAAGGTCATGAAGAATTCCCACCTTTAATTAATGACCCTCAACCACAGAACACATCCCTTCTGTGACAGATTAACCTGGAAGGTACCCATGTCCCACATCCCTATTGAGATGGTCTCAGAGGCCCAGGTATCAATGAAGGGACATGTAGGTTTTATGTTCATGTAGCTACCTCATGAGATCTGAAGAGCAGGGGTAAGAAAATGCAAATTTTACTGGTCAGGCTAGCTCAGAAAGTTCTGACAAGAATAGTTAGAAGAGACTTGCTCACTAGTTTGGTCAGAAAGACTTACTGTTTAAATGCATTGTAGAGTTACAGAACATAGAAGGTATGTGTGAGAAGGTATTAGATTTGCAAAAACGAATGACTTTTTGTGATCATATTTAGGTTATGATTTCCTTATTTATGTATTTTTGCCAGTAATGTCACAGCAGTGATGACACATCCTTCCTTTTGCTTCAGTCACCAGATATCCATTGTTCTAGTCACCCTGATATTCACTTGGCTAAGGTGCTCTCTTCACTATGGAGTTAACAGTTTCTCTTTATCATTAACAAGGGTCTAGCAGGGAATTATTGAAAGATATGAAAAAACTGTCACATTTTATCTGGACATTGTTGTCTTCTATTTCTGTTGTCTTCTTAGTTTCTATTTGCTTTGGAAAATGAAAACTCTACTTTTTTTTACTGTACTTACTGACTTTAGAGAGAGAGGAAAGGAAAGAGAAATATTGATTTGTTGTTCCACTTACGCATTCATTGGTTGAGTCTTGTATATATCCTGACTGGAGATCGAACCCAGATTGTTGACGTATCAGGTTGACACACTAACCAACTGAGCTACCTGACCAGGGCTGAAGACCCTACTTTTAATTTCCGAGAGATTACTGGCTGTGGGGAGGCTTTAACCAATCAGGTTAAAAATTTTAAGTTCCCATAAATTTTAATAATGTTCTACAGTCATGTTACAGACATACTTCACTTTATTCCTTTTTGTAGTTTCATGAAAATTTACAAGAATTATATTAATGTATATTCAAGTCAGTAAAATTTCTAAGGTATAGTTCACCAAAAATGGTACATCAAAATTTTTAAAGAAATGAAAGACTGGAAAACAATAGCTGTAACTTATTATTCTTTGTTATTGTGTGTTCCTTTCCCTATTGTGTTTATAAAACATGGTATCATCCACAAAAAGATTGATGAGATTTGCAGAATCAAAAATTCCATTCCCTATCACTGTTAACATGCTCTTAGTTTCCATATGTACGTCTGTGTGAATAAAATGTTAACATTCTTTGAGCTATTCTTTCTCCTTTCCTGCTTAGGATGTTTCTGTTATTCTTCTCAGTTACAGAAACTGCCATGAATGCTCATGACATTCTTGGTGCCTGTTGGCCTGTGTTCTTTCTGAAAAATTCTAGAATTGAATTAAAACTCAAGATCTACTGTTTACTGGAAGTTTCACAAAATATTCTTATAACATAAAAAATAATCTTTTTCTCAGATCACATATATATTAAAAATTATATACAAAACTGTTGGAATGATATCTAGTATATAAGACATTATCAAAAAGGATTATGGTTGCTATGCTTCCTGTTTTATGAGAACAGTAAATTCTATGAAACTCTTTCAGCTGCAAGTCATCTATGAATTTCTCTGTTTTCTTTTTCTTGCTATTCAGAAGTATGGCATGTGGACCAGAGACACTGGCATCATTAGTAAAAAGTGAGCTTGTTGAAGAAGCACAGGCCCCATCCCAGAACTCCTGAATCAGAATCTGCATTTTTATAAAACTGCAGTTCTTCCCTTCCCTTCTCTCTCAAAATAAACAAAATCTTTAAAAAAAAAAAAAAAAAGCCCTGGCTGGTGTAGCTCAGTGGGTCGAGCATGGGCCTGAGAACCAAAGGGTAGTTGGTTTGATTCCCAGTCAGGGTACATGCCTGGGTTGCAGGCTAGGTCCCCAGCAGGGAGGTGTACGAGAGGCAACCACACATTGATGTTTCTCCCCCTCTCTTTCTCCTTCCCTTCCTCTCTCTCTAAAAATAAATAAATAAAATAAAAAAAAAAAACACTGCAGTTCTTTGTTGTCTGTGTTAAACTTCAACTCCTCACACTTCCAACTTACCATGTCTTCTCCACCTGAAAAATATACACAATTGATTCTGAATGATACAATTATAACTCTTAGAAATCCATGTGTCTCTGTTGATGCCTTCATTTTATTTTATTTTTTTCATCTTTTTAATTTTTAACTTTTCAGAGAGGAGAGGGGTGGGAGAAATAGAGGGAGATAAGCATTGATTGGTTGCTTCTCACGTGCCTCTCAATGGGAGACCGAACCTGCAACCCAGGCATGTGCCCTGACCAAGAATTGAACCAGCAACCTTTTGCTTTTCAGAGTGACACACCCAACCAACTGAGCCACAGTGGTCAGGACGATGCCTTCATTTTAAAGTTCATTTTCCTGAAAAGTACTGTCTCTGCAGTGGATTTGTGGAGATGTGACATCCTCCTTTCTCGGTGTTAGAAGATACATTAGAGAATATTACTGGGTCACAGTGATCTTACTGGATGATTCAGTATACTCTCCTAGGTCAAAACCACTGTTTTCAAGTTGGGTTATATTATGAATTCTGTTGGTGGCCCCTTGGTAAATGTCTTTTCTTTTAGAGATCATTGACCTTCAGGGATGTGGCTGTAGATTTCTCTCTAGAGGAGTGGGAATGCCTGGACCCAGCTCAGAGGAAATTGTACATGGATGTGATGATGGAGAACTACAGGAACCTGGTCTCCCTGGGTGAGGATGACTTCCTTTCAGAGTTCCAACTCCACCCACAGAGTTTATTTCTTTCATGAGGAGATCGTCTCCTTGTAGCTTCTGCTTTGTACAGTAGACTTTTAGATCCCTGGTCTCAAGAAAGAAATGGGGATTTTCTGGTGTAGGAAAAAAAAGCTGGGGGTAAATTGGGACAACTGTCACTCAACAGCAATAAAAAAAAGGAAAAATCAAAAACATTTTTAAAAAGAAAAAGAAAAGTTTTGTGATATATATGAAATAGAATCCTATTATCTGAAGACCTTACATGTTGTCTAGAATAATTAATGTGCTAACAGAAAACAGTATTTTGGAAAATATTCTAGAATATTTTCTAGAATATCCTAATATTATACCATTTTCTAGAGAATATTAGAATATTTTCTAGAATATTCTAATATTATACCATGTCTTCTTACTTGAGCACAAACTGGATTGGAAATGGGAGCATCTCTATCAAAACTCATGTTCTTTTTTCTGATAAACAGGTCTTGTTGTCTCTAAGCCAGTCCTGGTCACCTTTTTGGAGAAAATAAAGGAGCGCTGGGATGTGAAGGGAAAAAAGACATGTGCCCTCTCAGGTAGGTGGGAACAAGGAAGCTGGTGACACAGGTGAGAGGTCCAAAGGCCACGAAGGAAGCTAGACCCTGACGTGTGATTTGAGAAGCTCTGCTTCAGTGGAAAAGATTTTGAGAAGCCCAGGTTTATTTCTGTTGCTGTCATAGAAATAGGGACAGTGCATCTGCAAAATGTCCCTTGCTGCTGTATCCTCTCAGGATTCTGCTCTGTTCTAGTGACCTCCATCATCACATTAGCTGTGGGGGCAAAGACCCTGCCTTTATCTGTGAGGGCTGCCATGGTCTGGCTCCTCTTCCATTGCTTTGGGGACCTAGGAATATCTGTGCATGATGCTGAGGAATTGGATGTTAAGCCTTTTTTTTTCTTTTGGTCTCATGTAGAGAGTTTATGAAGGAAGAGGTTGAGACCCTGGAATTTGGTGCAGAAATCCCAGGAAACCTGGAGACAGGTGTCATGTTTTCTGATTTATTTCTAATCCTGTGGAGGCTTCACACAAGACCCTACAGAGTTTAGACTCAGTGATTTCATCACAGCACAATGAATATCAGAAAATCTAATTATCTCTTTTACTTCAAAATGCCCTTTTGCTTTTTTGCTTTGTATTATATAACATCAATTTCTGGTCTGTAGTCATCATTTCTCCATGTTAGAATAGTGGACTGTGTGCATTTACCTCATAGAATTCCTCAATAAGTTACTACCACAGGTGTCCTTAGAACAGTGCTCAACACGTAGGAAGATCTCTATTGTTACCTGATTTCTTTATCTCTATCATTTTATCATTCTCTCTTGTTTGGACTGTGCCTGATGTGTTTTCACTTTGTAATTAGATCTTTGTCAAATTTCTGCCTTGACATTCGGAAGTGCTGATACAATATGCTCGAGTGTTCTCCTTTGGTAAGAAGTGAATTCCAGAATTAGACATTTCATATTTAGGAAAATGTTTTGTCCCTCAATTTAAGTTTAGTTCAGGCAAAAGCAATGATTAGGTTTTTTATTTGTTTTCCTCAGCATGTCTTTTTTTCTTTTTAGCTTGCATTTTTTAACAATTGAATCTTTATTCAGCATGTCTTTTAATGATAGTATACTCAATCTCACATGTTTAGTTTAATCATCAGTTATTCTCTGCGTATTTTACAAGTTTGTTATGATTCTTTTATTTAGAAATGAAGGCTTTTTTTTTCCTGTAGGATGGATTGCAGCCTACACATTTTGTGTAAGAATAGCTGAAATAGCAGTGTGCAGATGAGTTTTTGAGTTGTAGGTTTGAAACCTGTATGCTTTTGCAAACCAGTGTCACCCCAATAAATTTTTTTATATTTATTTATTTTTAGAGAGAGGGAAGGGAGGGAGAGAAACATCAACTTGTGACAGAAACATCGATCAGTTGGCTCCTGCATGCTCCCAATTACGGACCTGGCTCACATGTGCCCTGACCAGGAATCATATTGATGAGCCTTCATTTCACAGGCTGGCGTTTGATCCATTGAGCCACACTAGCCAGGGCACAGCAATAAATTTTTACAAAAGAATAGCTGAAATATATTAACAGCTGAAAAAACTTCTTGGATTATTTAAATACTTCTTTATAAAATTACTTTTAGAGCTATTTTTGAATGATTTTAATGCATTTTCTGTGAAATTTTTGTGTTGTATAATACATGCCAGTGATGCACAATGCTTGCTGTTCATGGAGTCACATTCACATTGGAATTTATAGTTTATAGAAGAATTCTTTTTTAATAGTACTTCTATGTACTGATAGTACTCAGATTTCTGGATTTAAATTTTCCATTCTTGTTTTCCAATTCCATAACAATGTATTTGTTTTTTAATGGTAGTTTCCCGAAATTTATTTTACATTTTTGGTTTTTATTTATATATTACAAAGTAAGTGATACTCAGTACACTTAAGACATTATGGGACTTAATTCAAATATGAATCAGCTATATGTCTATTGCCATTGAAATTATGTGCATGTTTTTCTGGTTAGCTTTACCCTACTTTATTAATGACTTATCTTGTGTCTTTCTGTGCTTGGTTAATGGTTAGTGTAGTTACATAGGTATGAAAATAGTCTTAATTTTATATCTGTTTATGAATTTATATTCTCTTTATGAGAGGGAAAGACTTTTTTAAAATTGAAGGTAGTTTTTGAAATGTTGTATAACTCTATCTCTTTTAGATGTTGTTTATGTTCAATTTTGTTAAAAACCGTGTGAGAAAAAAATCTACCATCTTAACCATCTGTAACTATAGAGCCCAGTGGTATTAAGTATACTGTCTTTGTTGTGCATCCAATCTCGGGAAGCATCCATCTTGCAGAAATGTCACCATGTCTATTTTAAACAATCACTTCCTCATTTGTCTTCAAACCAAGGCTTAGGTAACTACTTTCTTTTTCTTTTTACCAGGTGGACTCCATTAGATTACTTACCTAAGTGGAATCCTGTAGTGTCTCTTTCTCCATTTAAAAAAAGTCCTCAAGGTTTGTCTTTGTGATGTCAGGTGATATGATGTGGTTCTATTTCATGACAGAGTTGTATTAAATTGTATGTGTATGTTACATTTTCTTCATCTATTTATCTATCCATAGACATTGGGGTTGCTTCCACCTATTAGAATCTTTTGTGAATAACATAGTGGACACAGCTGTGCACATGTCACTTGCAGATCCTCCCTTGAATTTTTTTCGCTATATACCTAGAAGTCAGATGGCTGCATCATAGGATAGTTCTATTTTTAATTTTTTTGGCAAACACCACCACATTTTTCATACTGTTTATACCAATTTATTTTCATTCAACCACTGTATAGGGTCCAGTTTCTCCACATTTTTGGAAACACTTGATATTTTTGTTTCTTTGAATCTGGTCATTTTTATTGTTGTAAAGTGATTTTATATATGTGCGTGTACATATATATATATATGGTGTGTGTGTGTGTGTGTTTTAATGGAGGATACAAACATTTATCCCTCAGATGTGCATCAAGAATCATAGGAATGATGCATAGATATAACAACAGATACTTCAGAGAAGAAGGTCTGTGAATGACTTTCTTAAAGAGCAGTTTTAGGGCTCCCTAATGTTTGATTTAATACACTAGAGAGTTTAAATCTTAATACTATGAATTGAAAAACATGGTTAATAATTTGCCCTGAAAAAATCTGAAGTATATAAAATTAACTTTGGTTTACATGCAATAGCATGGAAGTTATATTTGCTCTAGGTGTTGTTTCTGGGATAAACAAATAATCTAAAACACATTTTGAAGTGAAGTTGAGATAAATTTTGTGACATTTAATTTATTCCAAATTGTACAGCATCATTATTAAAATGGTGTTTTTCTTTTCAGTTTGTTATCTTCACCATTGTAAATAATGCTGCAGTGGATGTAAGGGTGCATATATCTTTTTGAATTCATGTCCTCATATTCTTTGAAAAAAATCCCCAGAAATGGAATGGCCCTGTTACGTGGTATTTGCTTGTAAATTTTTGAGGAATTTCCACCTTGTTTTTAAATGGCTGCACCGGGCGGGGAAGGGGGGGGAGTTGGGGAAAAAAATGGCTGCACCAATTTATTTATAATCTCACCAGCGGTGTATTAGCGTTCTCATTTCTCCACAACATTAATAATACCTGTTACTTGTTGACTTATTAATGATTGTCACCCTGACAGGTGTGTGGTGATATTTCATTGTGGTATCAACTTGCATTTCTCTGACAATGAATGGTGTTGAACATGTTTTCATGTATCTATTGGTCATCTTCATATCCTCCTTAGAGAAATGTCTGTTCAGGTCCTCTGCCTGTTTTTCAATTGGATTGTTTGGGCTTTTTTGGTGTTAAGTTGTGTGAGTTTCTTTTATATTTTGCATATTGAGCTTTTAAAGATGTATTATTGGTGATTATCTTACCCTATTCAGTAGGTCATTTTTTTGTTGTTTTGTTGTATTTTTTTCCTGTACAAAAAATTTACTCTTAGTCTCACTTGTTTATTTTTCTTGTTAGTTATGCCTAGGGAGACATATCAAAAAAAAATATACTTGTAAGAGCAATGACAGAGTTTATTGACTGTCTTTTCTTCCAGTGTTTTCATAATTTCAGGTGTTATATTTTAACTTTTAATCAATTTTTTAGTTTATTTTGGTACATGGCATCAGAAAGTGGTCTAGTTTTAAATTTTTTGCATGTATGTATTTAGTTTTTCTTGCACCATGTTTTGAAAACTGTCTTTCCCCATTGTGTATTACCACATTTTTTCTTATAGATTAGTTAATTATATACCTTTGACCATTTTAAAAATTGCGTTACTTTTTTCATTTTTTTGTAAAAGTTCTTTATATATTCTGGATATTAACTACTCATTAGATATATGTTTTGCAGAAACTTTCTCCCATTTCCTAGGTTCTTTACTCCACTGAGTATCTGCTTAAATGTGTAGGAGTTTTTATATTTTGTTCAATCCCGTATGACTGTATTAGCTTTGTTTACCTTTGCTTTTGGTTTTATAAGTAAAAAATTTAAATGTCATGAAATCTTTTCCATAACTTAGAGTAGATTGAGTCATTAGTTTTATGTTTAAATGTTTTATCCATTTTGATTTAATATTTGCCTATGGTGTTACGTAACGGTTCACCTTCACTCATTCTTTTACATGTGGACATCCAATTTTCTCAACACTATTGATTTATGAAAATATCCTTTTATTATATTGTGGTACAAGAAGGCTTGTTGAAGGTCATTTGACCTTGCCCAGGAGAAGTTGTATGTAGGCTCCATGTCCACCGTGCTTCATTGTTTACCTCTATTAATGTCTGTATTACACTTTTTGATAACAGCAGCTTGGAATATGGTTTAAAATCTGAAAGCATAGTGCCTATAATTTTACACTTTCTTTCCATGATTGTTTTGGTTACATGGTGTCCTGTGACATTCCATATTAATTTTAGGATGAGCTTTCCAATTTTTTTTTGCCACAAGTGTCATTGGGATTTTGATAGAAATGCTTTGGATGTTTAGTCTACCTTTGGTACTACTGACTGCTTATGCTATTAGCATTCTAATATAAGATCATGGCATGGGTAGTTCATTTATTGAGTTCTTTAATTATACTCAGCAATATTTAATACTTCTTATCATACAAGTTGTACATCTCCTTCATTAAGTAAACAACCAAGTATTTTATTGTCCTTTATATTATTATTCATGTAATTACATTCTTAATTTGTTTTTATATTAATTTTTGTTTACAGTAACAAGGAACACAACTAACTTCATGGTTTTATATCTTTTGAGAAATTTGTTTGATTTAGGTTTTTTTAGAAACATGGAATCTGTGATTTCCAATACATAATTCTGTCACCTATTAACAGATTTTACTTCTTTTCCATTTTTGTTGTTACCATGGGAGATACTTCAAACATTTTAAAGTTATAACATTATGCTTTAAACTGATTGTTCAGTTGCGTATAAAAGCTCTATTATTTGCCCTGGCTGGTGTAGCTCAGTGGATTGAGTATGGACCTGTGAACCAAAAGGTCGCTCGTTTGATTCCCAGTCAGGGCACATGCCTGGGTTGTGGGCTAGGTCCCCAGTAGTGGGGCACACGAGAAGCAACCACACATTGATGTTTCTCTGCATCTCTTTCTCCTTCCTTTCCCCCTCTCTAAAAATAAATAAAATCTTAAAAAAGAAACTCTATTACTTGCCATCTCCACCCCTTATGTCACTTATGTTATTGATATCACATTATATTTTCTATGCTGTGTACTTATAGATTTAAGATTTTGTTGCTTTTATTTTTAAAGTTCTATAGGAGAAATCAAAATGATTTGTGTTTCATGATTATACCACTGTGCATTTTTGTATTGGTATATATATTTATATGTATAACAAATCTTTATATGTTCATATGTTTTAGTGTTGTTTGGAAATTTTTGATACATCTGGAAGTATTTTCTTACTCAGTTTTCATAGGGAAGATTCAATGGTGAGAGAGTTTTCAGTGTTTTTGAGCTGGAAAACTTTTTCTTTCTCCATTGTTCATGTGTCTTGCTTGATAGTTTTTGTTCTTTCACTGGTTCAGTATTTTATTTCATGCTCTTCTTTTTCATAAGGTTTCTGCTGAGAAAGCCACTGATGATCTTAGAGGAGCTGTGTTTCCCATGTCAAAATTTTTTTTATGCTTTTAGGAAAGTTGTCTGGGATTTATAATGTTTTCCCTATGTCTTTCTGTTGACATTTTTCATTTATCCTATTTAGCATTCAGTGAGCCATTTGAATTTGTATGTCTCTTTCTTTCTACAGATTTCAGAATCTTGAACTATTAATTTTGCATATAAGTTGCATACTCCATTTCACTGTTCTGTCTTTATGGGGTCTACTTAATGTGCAAAGTGGTCAATTTGTTGGTTTCCCATGAGTTCCTTAGGTTCTCTTCACTGTTCCATATTTTTGTTGGCTTCCTTGTATTGAAATTTTTAATGAAGTATACACAAGCTGTTTGATTCTTCAAATTGGTCATATCTTTTGTGATGAGTCTATTGTATTTTAAAATTTTGATACTGTTTTTCAGCTTCTCGTTTCTGTTTGGTTTAATTTTACATTTTCTCTCTTTGCACTTTCATTTTGATCATGCACAGTTTTTTATTATGTAGTTGTCAGTTTTATCTAATTTCCCATTTTTAATATGGTTGCTTTCGATTCTTTTTTGAGGTAAGATATTTTTATTAATGTAGTATGAATTTCTGTAGATTTATATTGTTTTTCTGACTGGACACTATCTGTTTTTCTTTGTCTTGATATCTTTGTTGAGGTTCAGATTCTAAATAACAAGGCTTTATGAACTTGTGTTCTATGGGAATAAATTGTGGTGGGGATGCATGTTCTTGTTCTTTTGTGCAAGTTCAAAGTGCTTTCTGTTTCTTCCTCAGATCCCATGGTGACTTTCTGTTCTTCATATCTGTCTTTAGTCTTATACAGATGTGGTGTTTGAACAATTACTCATTTTTTTTAGTTGCTACTATAATGTATTCACCGTGTATTGCCATTTTTTAGCACTCTGTGTGGTGCAAAACAGAAACACATTCTTCAAGAAGCTACAAAACAGTGAGTCACTGAACACACTGTACTGTTATCTTTTTCTCTCCAGAGAAGAAACTGGGAATTGGGACTTTTCTTACAATATTGGCAGTGTGTGCCATGGGGGTTGAGCAGTATTGTTAGCAATTATAACCAACTTTTTGTCTCACTTTGATGTGATTTTTTTCATTGTACCTTTTGTGGGCTTGCTTTGAACTGTTCACTTGCTTTTGGGATACTCAGAAATGTAATTTTGTGTATAATTGCTGGTAAGTTCAAAGTACAATCACTTGAATGTCATAACTGTGAAAACTGATTTCCTATCTTTCAGCTATGTCATCTGAAGACAACCAAGCCTTGTTACGAAAGCCAGGAATAGAAGATTTATTCTCTAAAATAATACTGGTAAGATATGGAAGGTGTGGCTTTGATAATATACACTTAATGCAAGCCTTTGAATTTGAGGAATAGTGTGACAAGAAGAAAGAATGTTAATATGAACAGAACTAACCTGGGACAATTATTCATAATAAAATTATTGTTACCTAAAGAAGTCAAAGATACTACACATTTGGAAAAACTCTCACATTAAGTCAGTTACATTTGCAGATCAATGAGTTTCTGTGTGAAGACTGAAAAAAATTTCTGAAGATGTATATTCTTGGAAAGGAAAATATGGGAAATCTTAGAACTCATATAATCCATGGTGTGAATAACCATTTGTGTTGTTTAAAATGTAGGATAGGATTAAACTTTCAGTCAGTCATGCCTAAAATTTAGATTTATAGTGCACATATAAAATTAAAATGTGGTGAAATTGGCAATCCCTTTATCAGGAAATCATTGTTTTCCCATCATTAAATGTTTTCGTATTCCAATATCTATAATTTTTATAAACATGGAGTGTTTTTTAATACAACCATCATGGTTTAATAACTATCAAAGAATAGTTATTTGGAAATAAGTGTATATGTTTAATCAAATTATAGCTGTCACTAAAGCCCTTTCTATCTTCAGTGTTACCAGAGTACATATAATGGAGACAGAAGTTATCAGTTCAATGAACATTGGAAACACTTTAACCAAGAGTCCAATCCTAATAAACATCAGAGAACTCAGCTTCCAGAGAACCATTGTGAAGTCTTTGACCAAAAGTCAAATCACAATACTCATCAGATTATTTCAATTGTAGTGGAAAAGACAAGCAAACAAAGTAAATATGTCAAATCTTTGAAGCCATCTGCAAATCACACTGAACAAGACAATATTTATTCTGGGGAGGAAGCTTACAAATGTAATCAGTATGGGAGAGTCTTCAGTCAAATATTCAATCTAAATAGACATAAGAAAAGCCATACTAGTGGTAAACTTTACAAGTGTAAAGTATGTGGTAAAACATTTAATTGGCCTTCAGGTCTTACTATACATCAGATAATTCATACTGGGGAGAAGCCTTACAAATGCAGGGAATGTGGCAAAGACTTTTGCCCATCTTCCAAACTTACTAAATATCAGAGAATTCATACTGGAGCAAAGGCTTACAAATGTTTAGAATGTGGCAAAACCTTTATCTGCTACTCAGAGCTTACTAAACATCAGAGAATACACACAGGAGAGAAACCATACAAATACAGAGAATGTAGCAAAGCCTCTATCCAGTCCACAGACTTTACTGAACATCAGAGAATTCATACTGGAGAGAAGTTTTATAAATATAGAGAATGTGGCAAAACCTTTAGCCAGCGTTCAGCACTTACTCAACATAAAAGAATTCATACTGGAGAGAAGCCTTATAAATGCAGAGAACATGGCAAAGGCTTCAGTCAGTCCTCGACCCTTACTGACCATCAGAGAAACTATAATGGACAAAAGCCTTACAAATGTGGACAATGTGGCAAAGCCTTTAAATGCTCCTCAAAACTTATTCATCATCAGATTATTCATAGTGGAGAGAAACCTTACAGATGTAAGGAGTGTGGGAAAACCTTTTTGTGGTATTCATACCTTACTAAACATCAAATAACACATTCTCGAGAGAAGCCTTACAAATGTAGAGAATGTGGGAAAGACTTCAAGTGGCATTCATATCTTACTGAACATGAGAGAAGAGTTCATACTGGGGAGAAACGTTACAAATGTAGAGAATGTGGTAGATCCTTTATCTATCACTCAGAACTTACTCACCATCAAAAAATTCATATTGGAGAGAAGCCTTATATATGTAGTGTATGTGCCAAAGCCTTTAATCAGCAGTGGTGTCTTATTCGACATGAGAAAATTCATACTGGAGAGAAACCTTACAAATGTATAGAATGTGGCAAAGCCTTTAGTGCATCCTCAACCCTTTCTGAGCATCAGAGAATTCATACTGGAGAGAAGCCTTTTAAGTGTAGAAAGTGTGACAAAGCCTTTAATCAGCGGTGGTGTCTTACCCGACATGAAAGAATTCATACTGGAGAGAAACCTTACAAATGTACAGAATGTGGCAAAGCCTTTAGAGCTTCCTCGACCCTTACAGAACATCACAGAATTCATACTGGAGAGAAGCCTTATAAATGTAGAAAATGTGACAAAGCCTTTACCCAGCGTTCAAAACTTACTGTACATCAGAGAGTTCATACTGGAGAGAAACCTTACAGTTGTAAGGAGTGTGGTAAAACCTTTGCTTGAGAGTGAATCTTTCTAAAAATTAGATAATTCATTCTTGACAGAAGCCTTACAAATATAAAGAATGTGGCAAACCCTTTAATTACCACTGGCCTCTTACACAAACACCAGAGAATTTATACATTGTATGTGCCAGAGCCTTTAATCAGCAGTGGTATCTTACCCAGCAGGAGTGAATTCATACTAGAGAGAAACCTTACAAATGTAGAGAATGTGGCAAAGCCTTTAACCTGTGCTCAAAACTTGTTCAACATTGCAGAATTTGTGCTGGAGAGTAATAATAATAATAATAATAATAATAATGTAAATAACTTGGCAAGATATTTAACCTTTGTTCAAGCCTATTGAGCATCAGAAAAATAAACCTTATAAATATAACACATGCTCCCAGGTCTTTATCCTCAATCATAGTTTTCTCAATATTTGATCATTAATACTGCATAGAAGACTAACAAATAAAAATGATGTGGCCAAAGCTTTACCCAGGATGCAAACCTTACTAAACATTAGAATTCACACTAAAGAAAAACAATACAATTGTGAAGAAGGCGAAAAGACTTTATTCAGCATTCATAGCTTATTCAATGCATGAAAATTCACACTAGAGAGAAACTTTAAGGGTAAAGAATGTGGAACACCTATGGCTGGACCTAGAACCTCACTCAATATCAGGGATTGCACACTGGGGAAGAATTCTATATTCATAATAAAAGATGAAAGACTTGTCCACATTATACACTTCACAAAAGCCCAAACAACTTAGGCCTTAAAGTGACTTTAAAGATGTAAATAATTTGCAAAAGTTTGTAATTGAATAGGAATTTTAAAATATTACTGAATTCACAGAATGAAGGTCAACAATTGGTTTTAGGTATTACTATAAATCAGAATACTTACACAGAATAATCCAATTTTTAAAGACTCAGATAAGGACTTCTATTTGCTTCAGAGTATCAAGGGGATGGATGTTTCTATATGTATAATTACAGTGTATTCTATTTTATATTGACAGTATATTAGATATTTTGAGAAGAAATATTTATGATTCCACTGTCATAATAATTAGTTACTATGTTTTTATTCCTAGTGTATGTGATGAGTTTGAATGTTGCTTTTTTTAAAGATCTGTGAACTCTTGTATATTAGGTGAGTTTCACTCATATCTACTTTTACATGGAAGATTGAAGACATAATGCACAATGTATGAAAAAATCTAAATGGAGATGTTGTTTGTGGTTGACTTAAAATGTTGTTGTATGTCACCATGAAGAGCATCTTTTTTTGCATCGGTGTAAGGCTGTGGAGCATTATGAATTTTAAGTTCTTTTTCCAATAACTCTCTTTAAGGAAAATATGGTGGCAATTTATTAAAACCTTGATGTATCTTCATAGTAGCCATAGACAGATGAGATGATGTGGTTGAAATAAAATAAAAAAGTGATCAGGGATATCTGAAAAAGCATAGACAACTCATTTCTTTTTTTAACTATTCACCCAAGGATAAGTTTATTGATTTTATAGACAGAAGAAAGGAGGGAAGAGAGAGAGAATATCGATTGACTTCTAAGACCATAAAATTATTGTATTTCCATGTTTGCTAAATAATTAGCCTCCATTCTGAAAACCACAAAAGCACAGCTGTCAGATCACTATATAGTAAAATCCAGTCAAAAGACAAAGGGTAGCTGAAGGAATAGAACAAGACCTATAGATATGCTGTCTACAAGAGACCCACCTCAGATCAGAGTGAAAGTAATGACGTGGAAACAGTTCCCCTCTACCTTTGGGCTCTGAAGAACCTACTCTGTAGAAAATTTTGCTCTAGTGAGCAATCTATATCATGGAAAGTGCACGTATAATAGATATAAAGAATAATCATGTTCATAGTTAGCTGTCCTATGGTAGAGGTAACTTTTAATGGAGTCAACATGTAAACAGTCTTTAGATACACAGAAACTTCTTTTGGCAGGTGCTCAGGCAGGTTAGAGCAGGCCTGATGGGTAATTCAGGTAAAGATGCTTTGCTTTTATCTGAACCACTTAATAGATGACTGCTTTACTTTCTCTTTTTAAAATTTGGAAATCCAGTGTTAAAAAAAAAAAAAGAACTGTGTTGCCCTGTCTAGTGTGGCTCTGTTGGTTGGGCATTGTTTGGAAAAGCTAACAGTCACCAGTTCAGTTCCTGGTCAGGGAACATGCCTCAGTCGCTGGTGGTCCCTGGTCTGTCAGGGTACATGGGAAAAGCAACCAGTTGATGTTTCTTTGTCACATTGATGTTTCTCTCCCTATCTTTTGGCCTCCCTTCCCATCCCCTGAAAATAAATAAATATAATCTTAAATAAAATGAAATAAAAAAATAAGCTTTGTAGCCTTGGCTGGTATGGCTCCTTATACCCAGTGGTTAGGAGTTTGATTCTGGGTCCAGGCACTTGACTGGATTGCAAATTTGATCCCTGATCAGGGTGCCTACAGCAGACAACCAATCAAAGTGTCTCTATCACACTGATTTTCTCTTCCTCTCTCTAAAACCAATAAACTTTTTAAAAAGTAGCCGTTCCCTGAAGGAACATATAATGAATTTGAAGTTACATTTCATTCAGATATAACTGACATAACTATATTATAATGTGAAGAAGTGTATCTCAAAGGTATTTCAAAATAATTTATTTGAAGTGTGGTACAAAAAACCACTTATTTTAATGCAATTTATAACATTTTAAGTTATTTTTCTTTTTAAAGCAATGCTTATTGTCCTAAATGATTGCATGCCTTAGCTGTCTACATCTCATATCCCAGGTCGTGTCCTTGTGAAAGTTTCTAGAGTATTGTTGACTCTTGGCCTCCCTGGTAAAAGGGGTATAGAAAGGACATGCTGCTGGGTGTCAGGATAAAATTGAATCCAGAGAGAGCTGGGAATTTCATATTCTAATTCTTAATCCATACAGACACTATTGGAGTTCTTGTTTAATAAAACTGCTTAAATTAATTCTAATTGCAGAAATGTTCCTGGATCCAACCTCCTCCCTACTCCCAGTCCCTCAAAGAAATCCCAGTTCTTGCCGAGTTGCTTCTGCCTTATGAGCCCTGGATCTAAACCTCTTTAGCTATAAAGAGGAAAACAACTTAGTTTCCGACACAAGTGGCTCACATAATTCTAAGCTTTTACCTTAAAACTGACAGATGGTGTAACTTAAAATACTGTATTTTGCCATGTATAATGTGCTCCCATGTATAACACATACCCACATTTGTGGCTTAAACTTTCAGGAAAAAATAATTTTGTTTTAATTTTTTAATTCAATTATTTATATTTAGGAACAACTGATTATTGTATTTCAGAATATTATTTTGCATACAGATATCATTATTGCTTTTTAGAGTTACACTTTTAACTCATAAGCATAAATAAAAGAATTAAAAACACATACAGATATGGAATTAGTACTACCTATGTATAATGTGCATCCTTATTTCCCCCTCAAAAATGTGCACATTATACATGGCAAAATATGGTAATTAGAAAGCCACACTGCTGCACAGACACGAAAGACAGCATTTTTTAAATTGTATTTTTCAATTACTGTTTACATTCAATATTATTTTGTATTAGTTTAAGGTATATAGTTGAACAATCATACACTTTATGAAGTGTTCCCCCTGGTATTTCCTGATAGCCAAGGTTTGCAGGACCAATTCCTGGTTAGGGCACATACAAGAATCAACCACTGAATGCAAAAACAAGTGGAAAAAAATCACTATTTTAGCCCTGGCCAGGTAGCTCAAAGAGCATTGTCCTGCTATGCCAAGGCCTGGGGTTTGATCCTTGGTGAGGGCACATACAAGAACCAATAGATGTGTAAGTAATTGGATCTCCATCTGTAAAATTAATAAAAATAAAATTCAATGTATCTGCCTCCTCTTAAAAATCAATTTAAAAAAACATATCCGGATGGGGACTAAAATTTTTTTTTAGTTCTTTAAAACAAGAAAGGCACTTTGGGAGCCAAGTGCAGAGAAGCTCAGGGCCCGTCCCCCGCAGCCTGGTTCTCACACAGCTTCAGTTCGGGTTGCTTGTGGTCACTGCATCCCTGGCCTCGCAAGCCCCAGCAAAACCACAGACGCCCCTATGCCTACAGGTTTTTCTTTTGCTTCCTACACAACAAATGCAAGCCTGGCTGTTATCTCCAAGTCCTTGCTCTACGACGGTTTTCTCCAGTATTCTCCCAGTTATTGCGCATGCCTGGCTTCTAAGCAGGCCCCACTCTCTCACTAATCGCCTCAAAGGCCACGGTCCTTCACCAACTGCCGTTTCACTTGGGCAAGGAAGGAGCAGGAGCCCCAACCCTCGCTCTCCTGCGCTCAGCCCAGACTCCGCCCCTGAAACGGCCCCTTTTCCCTCCTGTCACCCTCGCGAACCCGAAGGGTGAGAGACAGGGGAAGTCACACTGCAGAGCGTTTCTGCCTTTTAGTTTATACCTGCCTTTCCCAAGCTCATTTTCATTCAGGGCGTGGTGGTCTTCATGGTCTTTAGAGTCTCTGTAGCTGGCCCTTCCGCTCCCGTAAACTCAGGTGGTGTGGTGAGAGGTGCGGTGCTTCCCTAACATTTAAAATGGCTGTCAAGCCCCTCGCTGCTTTGTACTTCTCTGCCTTCATGTCATTTCCCTTCTTACCCTTTACTGACGTCTTTGGCCTTCAGGCGCCATTGAAGTCCCCCACGAGGTGGATTCGCGCCCCACATCCTTGCTCTCCGGGCCTCTGGGGGCAGTGTCTGTGATTCAAACACGTCCTCAGATCACTGGGGAGAGGTAGGAGGGGCCAGTTCCAGGTTGCCAGGCAATGATAAACAGTCTAGGACGGAATTGGCTGAGAAGCTGAATGCCCCAGAGTTCACGGAAATAAGAAGACTGGCTCTCCAACTCTTCCTCAAGGATGCTTGGATGACTGTGCTGTGGCTGCCTGCATTTCCCAACAGACGGTATTTTGAATGGGAAGAAACCGGTCATAGCCTAGGATCTGGCTGGCGTGGCAGAGGATGGCAGGTTATTTTTGGGGGGTGTTCTCAGGAGGGAACAGGCTCTGAGGCAGAGCCTGCCATTCTTCCAAAATGGTGTAGCTTTTTAATCTTATGTTGTTTTAGTTTGCAAACTAATCCTATAGAAATAAGAATTAAAACTAACAGGGGGAATGATAGGAGAACTCAGGTGTTAGCTTTAGCCTTAACTGATAGGCTTAAGTGATTAAAATTGCACCTAAAAAGTGTTTAGTCTTAATAGATAGGCCTAAGTGACTAATTCTTTTGGAAAGCTGTTATTCCAAAATTGTGAAGGTTTTGAATAAAGACTCATTTTGTTTATCACCAAACCTTCGCCTCTGGAATTTTGTTTAGAGGGTAGTGACAAGTAGCAGGACCTCAACTTGCAGTTCGGTAACATCCCCACCCGGCTCTGGGAGAGGCGGGGTGCTCTTTTTGATCCTGGGATTCTGGCGACCCCACCCATGTCCTGAAAGACTCCCTCTTCGTCCCAATCCTCACACCTTTCCCTAGCCCAGCCCCTCAGCTTCTCAGGAATCCCCTTCATAGTCGCTGCTCTGTTTGGGGTTTAATCAAGGCTGACCTGTGACCCCAAAGGGAGTGTCAGTTCAATGGAGGTCCCCACCACTGCTACCTGTGTATGAAGGTGTCACCAGGAGAGCTGCCTGATCTGTAAAAAGCTGTGGGAAAACTCACTTGTTTGTCTCTGAAAGCAGTTTACAGCCTTTGAATTTCTCCTTTAGTGGTGGGTGGCAGATACAATCTCTCCCACCTGGTGGGGTCATTACTGTGTGTATGCTGGTGGCACAGGAAGGGGGTGTGTGGATAAACAGCATACTTTCAACTTCCCAGATCCACTGCTAAAGGCTCTTGTTTCCTAAATAAGCTCAGGCGAGGAGGACAAGGAAAGAAAGTGGGTTCAGCAAGGGCTCTTTCTCAGCTAAAGTTATGTTCTCAGTAGTTGTGTCTTTGTTGCCTGAAATGGCCTTTGACTTGCTGATCATCTCTGACTCTGAAGTGTCTTGCCTGACATTTGTTCACACTTAGCCTGGGCCTTCCCTCAGTGCTTCTCATCTCAGCTTAAATTGTATCTTACCATGATCCAGGGACATGAATATTTTTACAACCACTATGAAAGAACATGCACATAGAAGTCATGTAATAATATGCACAAATACCAGGTAAGTCCTGGAAAAGGGACCAATAGGCAGAAATCTTTATGACTGTGTTTATAATACATTTGAAGCTAAATGACTGGGTCACTGACTTGAAAATCTGTGATTGGAAATGGTGAGGAAAGTTGACTGAGTGCAGTGAGGGACGGTGTTTTACTCCATCATCAATTTTAAAGTAGGAAGTCAACCACTAAGTCTGACACTGGAGATTCTTTAGATCGTTTTTTGTCACATCTATTTCTTGGAGTTTGCATTTCCCCCCTGTGGATTATATGCTTTGACATAGAGAAGTCTTTATGTTTAATGCAGGAAAGTTTTCATCAGGGTTTATTTTGGGCCATTTTCTCTTGTTCAATTGGTTTAAGTATCTATGTTACTCCAATATCACACTGCTGTGATTACTCTTGTTTTGTAATAAGATTTCAGTCTGAAAATGTTAAGCCTCCAACTTTTTTCTATTTGAAGAGTGTTTTGGCTCTCCTGAGTCCCTTTTGCTTGTTTTCATATGAATTCTTGGTTATTGTTTTTTATTTTTTCCTGCCAATTTGCCTTTGGAATTTTGATAGGGAATCCGTTTAATCTGTAGAACACCTTGGATAGATTGGATATTTTAGGACATTTCTTTCTTTCTTTCTTTTTTTTGTAATCTCCTTTCTTTAGCATTGTTTTTTTTTCCTTTTCAATGTAATCCTTTCAACTTGGTAAATAGGATTGTTTTGATAAGGTTTTTTTTTTTTGACCCTTCCTAGCAACTTTCTTGTAATAGTTCTGTAGTTGTAATATTTTTTTTTCCTTTGTGAAATCTTTATGATTTTCTACTTCCTTTTATTCAACTAGCAAAGAAAGAAATTTACTGCTTCTTTTCAATTTGGATGACTTTTCTTTCTCTTGTCTAATTTGCACTGGCTAGGACTGCCAGTAGATTGTTGAATACTTGTGCCAAAATATTCATCCCTGCCGTTTTCCTTATCAAGAAGCTGAAGGTTTCTGAAAGTCACTGTTGAGTATGACGGTAGCTTTTGAAATATGGCTTTTATTCATGATTAGGTAGTTTACTACTAAAGGTAATTATCAGAGGTATTTTTTAGAGATTTTATTTATTTATTTTCAGATAAAGGGGAAGGGAGAGAGGGAGAGAAACATC